CATCTGACTGGTCTCTAACGAGGTGAGCAGTCTAATCGAGTTTGATGAAATGGAAGGGACAATATCCGAAAAGATTTGTATGGCGTGAGCAAGCCGGGCGAAGCTTGGTGCATCCGGGCAGGGTGTGGAGCTTCACCAGCGTCCAAACAGAGGCAGATAAAGGAGAACTAAACCCAGTCGAGGCCAAACTAGGAGACACTCAAATGACCAGAATGACGGTTCGCGAGTCGCATAGCCGGGGAAAATCCTTCCCCCTCTTTTTCATTGTGTTTTTACACCCTAAGAGGGTCAAATTCTGATTCAAAGAGGTTTGGGAGTGAGTATACGATCCTCCAACTCTGGTCTCCATCAAGCTAGTTCTCGCGACACAGCCGAAATTTGGCCAAAAGATGCCCACTCACGCCATTATTCTGAACATTGCCACAAGACAACAAAAGTGTTATGTATCTTCCGCTCATCATGGACGGCAAAATCTGGAGCTTTTGGCTTGCAATCAAGTTTTAGGAATAGTGTCCCAGAACTTCGTGGCGGCCAGTTACCCGTTCAGAAGAACCTGACTTTGCACACAAATCAAGCAGAACATGTCTACCACAGTCAAGCTCGCGGAGTACTTGTTTACACGCCTCCGTCAACTGGGAGTGCGCTCCATCCACGGTGTACCCGGTGATTACAACCTGACCTTGTTGGATCATATTGAACCCTCAGGGCTTCATTGGGTCGGCAACTGCAACGAGCTAGATGCGGGATATGCTGCGGATGGCTATGCACGGATCAATGGCGTTGGAGCGCTGATAACCACATTTGGAGTCGGAGAACTTTCAGCTATCAATGCCATAGCTGGTGCATACTGCGAACGTGCAGCAGTTGTCCATGTGGTCGGCGCCCCCGAAACAGCCACTCAGGACTCTCGACTGAAGGTGCACCACACATTTGCTGATGGCAATTATCAACGCTTTGCTCAGATGCATGCCCATATTACGGTGGCACAGGAGAGCCTCAGAGACCCTCAATCAGCGGCAGAACAGATTGACACAATTCTGAAGAAATGCCTCTTTCACAGTAGGCCGGTCTACATCCAGGTCCCGGTGGACTTGGTAGATGCACCAGTTGAAGCCGGCAGGTTATGGTCAGAGTCTCTGTCGTCGGAAATCACTTCAATCGAAACTATGGTCTCACCGGCTCATGATCTGACCCTTTCAATTGTATTGGAAAAGATTAGAGCCGCCCAACAGCCGATGATTCTGGTAGATGGCGAGAGCAGAGCACTTGGAATCACCGAAGACGTCCAGAAAATCGTCCAGATAACGAAGTGGCCCACCTGGGTAACGGTCTTTGCCAAAGGTCTTGTGGATGAGACGGCTTCCAACGTCCATGGAGTCTATCGAGGCAGCTACGATCCAAAGGCGAAGGCTTTCGTGGACAGTTCGGACCTGGTCTTGTGCTTCGGGCCTCACTTTAGCTCTACTAACACCTTCGACTCTACTAGCATCCCTCCTAAGGCAGTCACTATCAGCTACACAGATAACGAGATTCGGATAGGCGAGCAAACCTTTCGCGACATCCGGGCCAAGCTTGGCGTCTCCCGGCTGCGGCAAGAGCTGAGCGCTATGCACTTGAAGCCTTCTGGCATGCCTGCCAACTTGTCTGGTGAGGACCGTGAAATCTGTTTCTCATCGCTTCCGAGCAACCAATGCATCACGCAAGATAAACTGTGGCGTCTTCTGGCCAATTTCATCCATCCAGGCGACATTGTCCTAGGCGAAACAGGCACCGCAGGCTATGGTGTCCAAGAGATGGTACTTCCACGCAACACACGCGTCTTCGCGCCGGTGACCTGGCTCTCAATTGGATATATGCTTCCCGCGGCCCAGGGCGCGGCTCTAGCCCAGAGGGAGCTTATAGCCTCTTCAGCTTATCACGGCATCAGCCATGCGCGGACCGTGCTCTTTATCGGCGATGGTAGCTTCCAAATGACCGTGCAGGAACTTAGCACCATCGTACGTGAGAAGCTGGACGTCATAATCTTCCTACTCAACAACGACGGCTACACGATCGAACGATGCATTCACGGCTTGAAGAAAAGGTACAACGACATCGCTCGTTGGCGCTACCTTCAAGCACCACACTTCCTGGGCGCTGACGATGGCGTCTTCACAGCTACCGTGAGCACTTGGGGAGAGCTCGAGCGGGTACTTTCGGCTACAGAAATGGCCGGCGGCAGCGGTTTGAGGATGGTGGAGATAATGTTGGACCGTGAGGATGTCCCGGAAGGTCCTTTGCTTGATTTGCTCCGAGAGGAAAAGAAGGCTGTCTCGGGGGAATCGTAACGTATCCATCGCAAGGACAACCAGATGTAGTCCCATTTTAATATATATCGCCCAAAAGCCATCTTTCCAAGACTATCTAGGATAAAGGGTGAGCGAGTCACTCCTTGTTGTCTTGACGTATATATACCTGCGCGCTGTTCCCTCTCAGTCAGGAAACCCTGCTTGTCGTTACATGTGTCGTGGAATTATGCAGCCTTCCTGCCCAGTTTCGGAAGGTGCAGTCGAACTTCTTGCCAGAAACCAAGAGGGACCTCAACAAAGCTGGCTTCATAGGCGTCGATGACAGGACGCTCCCACACTAGGTCCGCCTCTTCCGGCTTGACCAGCTTCGTTTTCTTGAAGACTTTCCAGCCCACGTAGAGCAATGGGCAGACAAAACACATGGTGTAGTAAGAGAAGAAAGTCCCGACGTCCCACCATCCGGGCAGGAACGTGGTGTAGCCATAGATGCCGATGATGCAGATCAAGAAGATCATGGCGATCCATGCCACGTACGGTTGGCCCCAGCCCTTGTAGGGCAGGGTGTTTCGGTCGTAGCCTTGGGCCTTCAAAGCGCGATAGAAGAAGATGTAGATGATGCACTGTGAAGCACATTCGATTAGTGAATAGATGGATAGCACATGGAGGTAGAAAGGAGATTCTCACCATCACGATGAAGTCGATGATTTGAGATGCCTCCGTAAGATTCGTCAACCTGGCTTGACGTTAGCACCGGGCAGATACAGAATGGATATAAGAGTGCGCACCACGTGATAACTTGGGTACTACTAGCTCCCAGGGTGAGCAAGGACAAGAGCGGAAATATCATGGTGACGCAGAAGCAGTAAATAGGCACTCCGGCTTTGGTGCATCTTTGCAGGAACCTCGGAGCATGGCCGTCCAGGGAGAGACCGTAGAGCGTCCTGGAAGCGCAGTAGCTGTGGAGTTGACATTAGTTTAACGTCCCGCGCAAATAAACCGTCAATTAACTTACACATAGGTGTTTCCGGCAGAAAAGATACTCGTAACAAGGAGAGCATTTGTCAAGTCCGGGAGCACACTGACTCCCATGTTCTGCATGGCAATAACGTACGGGGATGCGCCAGCCGTGCCAGTGGAACCTCCGTTCAGAACAGCGTTCAGTGTCGGGTCATCGTACGGGACAACAATGCCGACGCAAAGAGCTCCGACGATGAAGAAGACGCCGAACCGCCAGTAGACGGTCTTGAAGGCCTCTTTCAGGTGCTTTCGTGGGTACATTGCCTCGCCGCTGACCATGGCCACATACTCCGGCCCAACAATGGTGAACGCGGCCATAAACAGCGCGCCCAGGAATCCCTCGAACCGACCAAGGGCGCCAGTGGTGACGTAGGGCGCAAACGCCTATGAAAAATTAGCATGGTAGACCAGGCCGTAGATATCACATAAAATTTACCCCAGGATTACTCCAGTAGCGAAATCCGTATGCATCGTGCTTGGGATTACCTCCGACCTACATCCTGTTATCGAACGGCGACGGCAGATGCGACTGTGGAATTGCACATACCATTGTGACAAAGGTAAAGGAAAAGACAATCGCGACTAGAACAACCTTGCCGCCAGAAAGCCAGAACTCGGATTCTCCGTACCACTTGACAGCGAAGAGATTGATTAATCTAAAATATCAGTCTCATGGCGAGGAATAATACTGCAGGACATTAGCTTACCCGTAGAGAACGATGCAGCCAATGCATATGGCGACCTTGGGAACGTTGTCGGACCAATAGGTCAGAACGAGGTTGAGAGCTGAGATCTCCCAAGGGATCAAGACAGCCTCGTAAAGGAAAAAGTTCCAGCCCACCATGAACCCGAATGCCTCGTCAACCCACTTGGATCCCATTCGAATGAAAGAACCGCTGACTGGCATGAACACTGCCATCTCCGCCATACAGCTGTTGACGAGACCGAGAATGCAGGAATACAGAGTGAAAGCGATGAACAGACTGCCGGGACCGCCTTCAATGAGCCCATATCCAATACTGACGAAGAGCGCAGTGCCGATTGAGCCGCCGATTGCTATGAGCTGCATTTGACGATTCGTCAATCGTCGCTTGAGAGAGTCGACATTCTCGATCACGGAGGAAGCCTCGCCTTCCTGGACCTCGTACACACCCTTGTCGCCGACCTTCTCCACCGAGTGATTAGGCACGGGCTTGATGGTATCCATGAGGAGTTCTGGTTATGTAGGAGACAGAAAATTGTCGACGGGATACCAAACTATTCAAACAGCGACGTGGTTCCCATGGTGGAAAGATCAGCTACCCGAACCTCAGGGTTGCAACAGCCTGTTGACTTGCGATCAAGATGGCTGAGCTTCCTGAAAAGGTAAATCAATACGATAGGTGGAAGCGACAGAATCCTTTGCAGAGAGAACCATCCTCCGCCGAAACTGGGTGATAAATAGAGACTCCTTATCAGTCCGAAGGGTCTAGACGATCGGTCGTCCCCTGTCGGAAGATTAAACATCCAGCATAATTAACCCTAGGCCGTTAGCACTCATCCTAACGGAGTGAGACGTTTTGACCTTTCCAGATTCTTCCCTCTTGTTTACCACGTGGGCGCGTTCAACTTAAGGATCTTGCAGTGGTTAATATAAGATTATATCAAGAGTGCCACAACCTGGCTAATAGTGGGATGCGTATGAGGTGCAACGGGTCACTGAACAGATATCGCTGGAGTTGCTTCCCCAGATTTCGGGGTGAATATGTTGCGGAGCGCTATTCCCAAACGCCCAACTGCCTTGGCAAGGTCCGTCGCTTCGGCAGACGCAAACGTTAGGCGCAGGAAGACGGCAACCTTTTCCTTGCCCAGGGATGTTCCAAGCACAGCCGACGATCGTCCATCATCATTGATAGCACCAGTGTTAGTCAGTGTCGGCGTTTGAAAGGGGCTGCCTTTACAGGCTAGCACCCCTTCCTTCAACGCTTCCATATAAATCTTGTCCTCGATTTTCACAAGTGCCCGATGCCTTGCTTCTGCATCCATCAGTGTTTCGGACATGTCTAGTAGCGTGCTACAGTCAACTTTCAGCCAAATGAACATTCCAGCCCGGATTTCGCTCCAGGAGCAAATGTCTGCTAATATTCCCCATCCAAGCTCTCTCTCCATCGCTTGAAGCAATGCTGAAGCTCTATCACGATAGTTGCCCGCCAGGACGTTCAGCCATTGCAAAAACCCATCGTGTCCCCATGTCTCTGATATTAGCTTGTATACAGCCACCTGGCTGAGGCCACTAGGATGGACAAACCCGAGGTCATGCGCCGCTTGAAATGTCTCGACGATGGCCTTTGGAGCCGTAAGCCAACCCAGCCTCAACCCTGGGGCAAGAATTTTGGATGTGCTGTCGAGCCGTATGACACGTCCGGCCCTGGAGAGTGCGAGGTAAGACGGGAGGGAGAGGAAGTCTGAGCCTCCATGAGTTTGTGGAAAATGAAGATAATAGTAAGGGTCGTCTTCAAGAATCAGAATGTCGTGTTTCTCAGCAACATCTAGGATCTCCTGTCGCCGGTGCAGAGGCTGCGTTATGCCAGTTGGATTGTGTCCGGTTGGTATAGTGTATAATAATTTCGGTGCCGGCTTCCCCTGATGAAAGTCATTCCACGTTGATAGGATGTTGTCTAGCGAGTCGGGATTTATCCCGTCTGCATCCATTGCCACAGGAACTAGAATCAGGCCGAGAGCCGACGCTGCTTCTATCATCCCAGAGTATGTGTACTCCTCCACCAAGACATAATCGCCAGGATCAGTGAAGTTGCGAAATGCAGTCTCCATGGCTGATGTGTTCCCCCCTGTGAGGCATATCTCCCAATCTGAATAGGGCGGAGAATGAACATGAGAGACATGAGTGGTAAGGTATTGAATGAGTTGCTCAGACCCAAGAGAGTAACCGTAGGACAGCGCGATTGATAGATCGATCGAAGCCGACGGATCCTGCTTGTATACGATGCCTGTTCCCTTCTTCTCCTGAGAGCCATGGATATGCATAGCCTGATCAGTCCAGGCGGTAACGTTGGGCGAGGAATATGCAAACTCCATTCTCTCAAACGGATATGTGTCTGGCGACGGACGACCTGTACCGAGACTAATCATATCTTCACCGAACTCGGCCACGCTGGCTTTCAGAGATGACGGTCGTCTAACACGTCCCTCGCGACTGAGGAATTTGCTGATATCAATGCCAGACTTTGGCCTTTCCGAATAGCAAGGAGGCTTAAACAGGTCCGCCGTTGTGATCGGGGCAAGGGTCCTTTGTAATGTACCGAGGTCACTGAGACCTAGAAGCATCTTTTGGCATGGAATACTGTTCTGTCCAAGTCCGTTTCCGGACAAGCTGCAGCTGCAGCTCCCGTTCGATGTTTCGTTGCTAATGTGCATGCCGTGCTCTCAGAGACCCAGAGGCAGCTCCTTGAAATCTGTGCTGCCAGGTATAGGGCTCCGGTGTTCTTCCAGACGAGAGTAAATTCAGGACACTGTCAACGCTCGTAGTGTTACAAGAGACTGCCTCTTTTGCGAGACCAGTATATTCCAGTCTCATGAGTCATATGTCTTCGTTGAACGTTGAGAGCAGGAGCCATCAAGCACAGGGCGCCACTGTGTACCTAGGAGGCCTACCGAGGAAGGAAGTGAGAGATCTTTCCTTGATTGGGAAACCTGGATTCCACAGTTCACGTGGGCTAATCCTGATGGAGGCAAGGAAAGGAGAAAAACCACTCGGCAAGGTTCATGGCCTTTTGCTCTTGTTGAGAGAGGTAATTCCCATACTCCACCAATCAATCATCAACCATCGGTTATCATGGTGCTCCTCCCAGAATTGATAAGGTTTCAATCTTACCGGCTTCTGGTTAAAGGTTGTTCCCACACGAAAGTCGTCGTCCCAGATACCTCGTATTTGTAACTGATCAGCTCAGGCACGCCGGATAAGTTGTCCTTACTGAGACACAACCACTCGAAGCCACTTTTACCCACTTGATGATCGGGACACAATATCGGCGTCTTTTCGTGTTTCATGTTGCTCAAGAGGCGAGTCGGAGTCCATGTCTGATCTCCCACTCCAGGGAAATGTTGTCCCTTATGGCGTGCACAATTGGGATCGTCGCGCTTCGGTTGATCGTCAACGGCCCCAAGGAAGTCATTATCGAGGCAATCGTGGACCCGAGAAAGACCCTTCGATGAGTACGCTCGACTTCGGATGTATGACACGCGCAACTCCGCCTATCGACCTGAAGAAACCACAGCTCGGCGAACCTGCCGCGCCGTACCCCCACTCGACAAAGTCGTTCTCAAACCAACGTTTGCGCATCCAGTTTCGTCAAGGTTGAAATGCTCGAGGACGGTAATGATGGCCTAGCCGGGTACGCGATCTAGGGTTAGAACGAGGGTGGTTAGGTCTTCATTAGAGATTTTCCCGCTTCGCTGTACCACAACCTGAGGAAGTGTGACATCCTGTGTACTCTTTGCACAGAATTATGCGTCTTGCCCTATTGCAATATTTGAACTGACAGTGACAATTGGTGCTTTAGGAGTTGCCGTCTCCAGTACGACGTCCAAGGTACCAGAGGCATTCGATTGTGGGCTTAGCCTCGCACCGCCATCGCTTGGCGCTTGGCACTTGGCACTTGTCGCCAGCCTTGGGTCTTATCAGCCAAAGCTTGTCACCACAAGAATGTCTTCTCTTGCTCTCGTCCAAAAGCTTTCTTCAACCTACCTGTCATCTTCCATCAGCCAACGCGTAGGCCTTTGGTACTTGCTCCGGGTACTTCAAAAGGGACTCATGTGACCAAGCGCGAAATGGATCTTCAATCACTATAATGGTGTTCGGAGAATCCAGTCTACCATCGAGTCCACTTGCAAGCAAAGGTACGCATCAGAATGGGCGTCTTGGCCCCTCTTGCTTAACGTTGCCTGCCAGATTGCCGTGTTTGCAACAGAAGGCGTATCCATTGTGACCGAACCCTACCGTTTTGTAAGAAATGCGCACGGAAAGGCGTCGAATGTCCTGGATATGGACCGAGATTTCGATGGACGAATGCAATTGCTGTTCGCGGCCGGTTCAAAGGCCGCAGTGCGCCTGATGGATCTCAACATACGCAGCATGTCATTTCCGAGTCCCAGTCCCTGCCGAGGGTTGCCGGAGAAGACACTCCCGCCCCAAGTTACCAGTCCGGCCTCGCTTTGGCTCAGCAACTTCCTTCATCCACAGCAAAACGTCTATTGCAATACTATGCGACTAATATTGCTCCACTAATGGTCTGGCTGGACTCGGAGAAGAATGAGTACAAGCGCATAGTTATTCCCCTGGCAGAAAAGGATACAATCCTCCAGCTTGCCGTTCTTGCTATCTCCGCTGCACATATGTCGCAGGAAGACTGCCTTCCACCAGGCTTTTCACAGCGCGCAGGTGAGGCTGCCATTCTTATGATTACCGAGCAAGTACGCCAGATGACGGAATGCAACATGAATGATTCACCGATTGACGTCAATGGTGGAATTACCGCAGGAATCTTAGCTGCCATGCTCATTCTCTCAAATCATTCGCTGCTGAAGTCAGAGTTATCTCATGCTCAATCTCACAGACAGGCGGCGAGGATCTTAATGAATTCGTTAGCACTGAAACGGCCTCCCGATGACGACCTCACTATTTTTCTGAAAAACCAACTAGCCATTTACGACGTCCTTGCATGCACAACGTTATTCGATTATGAGCACATTCAACACGTCACTTTGCCACATCTTGCGCAACAAGATGTCCCTTTCGGGGACTTTCTCAACATTTTGCACAATATCACTATCATGTCACTCGACAGAGCCCAGCATGCGAAGCAGCCTGAAATGTTTGAAGAGGAATTGAAGCTTGCAAGTGGTTCAACATTGCTGGCTGCGGGACCGCTCAGTCAGACGTTGACCAGGTCATCCAGGCGAGACTTTATACGACTAGTCCAAGCATACCATCATGCTGGGATGCTTTACGTCTGCACTCGCCTTTGCGCGTCTCCGGGTGGTCAACAAGCCCTGGTAGTCCATACCAATAAACTCTTCAAAGTGATTGAACAATTTGACGACATAAATGCCTCTTTACACAATCTTGCATGGCCCCTGTTCATTGCCGGAACTTCTTGCTGCGGAGATGATGGACGCATGAGGATCATTAGTGGCTTGTGTCGGACGCTATCCGCAAATACACGGTTTTAGCACTACGCCAACCTGTCAACTTTTCTCCAGGAGCTCTGGCAAAGTTCGAATTCCGACTGGACCCTGCTTGCTCGTCAATGGGAAAGAAAAGGCACGCCGGTTATAGCCGTCTGAGCCACCGGACTGGTCATATCTGTGTGTGACGTATCTGCAAAGACAACTACCAAAGTACCATCCCCTTAGCGCGGGTCGCCAAAAACAGACCACGAATCCTCAGTCCATGGACATCGCTCTTAGATTCAGGCTTAGACTTTGTACAAAAGAGAAATGATTGCTATGATCAACTACACACCAAACCTGCTGGACCGAAGGATTCTATTGGGCAATCTGCAACTGCTGCTGTCCTGCTTGATATTCTAGTTGAGGTATCCTCGAATAATTTCTTCCGGTGCGTCCTTGTGTAAGAAGTTTGGAATTCTCTCGAACATCTCCCACGCACTGCGCCGCAGAAAGTCCATCTGCTCTTTCACCCATCGTTCAACCTCTTCCCGCTCGATCATCTCTCCACTGCTCTCTTTCTCTGCCAAGCCTGCCAAAACTAGATCAATTCGACCTTGAAGGCGAATAAGCTTCTCCTTTAGAAACAGATTGCACATCAGGGGAATGTCGTCATTTGCCGGGTCGACACTGCGAAGCGAAGAGTACCGGTCATCCAGATTGGGATCTGCGAACGTATAACTGGTCACCATGCTAATGCGCTCCGGCACGTTGGTCGCTCGCAGCGCGGCATGCTCGGTGCATCCGCCTTGCATGATGACCGCTCCTCCTATAGTTGGACTTTTGACCTTGACGATGGAGCCATCGCCGGTTCTGATAGCCGTCTCACCACCTTGCATCGCACTTGTGTCACTTAGCATGACCACACACACGACGGGGACCTGGTCTTTGTGCCAGGAGTCGATTGGAACGTTGTCGTACTCAGACTTCTTCAGTTCCAGAGGTGATTGTGGTGGTAAAGGAGTTTCCGTGAGCTTATAGACCCCGGCCAATCCATCTGGACCCAGCTGAATGTTGACCATCCCAATGTCTCCCGTTTTGTAGAGCCGTCGCAACGGGAATCCGGCTGCTCTGTCGATGGCAGCTTGGGTGGCAGGATGTTGCCATGCCTGCAGCATAAATTTCGCCGTCTTTTTTATTGGTCATAAACTCAGGTCAGACCATCCATAATTCACCATTATGCTTTGTGGGAGAACCCAAACGAGGGACCAACCTTTTCATGGCCAGCAATGTACGCAGGAGCCCGGTCCCAGGACCTGAGATATTTGTCTAGCATTCGCTTATCGAGCATCTCGCGCCGCAAGATACGCACTCCTTCTTCTGAGAACAGAGGAAACGGGTCTGTGTAACACAGGTCCGGGGCATTATGGGGTTTCGGAAGTCCTACTTCGCTGAACGTGTGACGTTGAGCAGGCGGTTGAAATGCTAAGTGGATCGCTGGGTCGAAATCAGGCAGTTCAGTGGTGTCGAGGGTTGTGGCTCCCTCCGCCGTTGGTATGGCGGCCAAAGGGGTAGCAACATCAGCTGCCATGTCGGACAGTCTTTGAGGCAGGATATGTCACGACACTGTTGCTTCGTGGGCGTAAAATTGGCGTTGAGAGAGGAGGTGCTGCAACCATTTATCGCCCACACGTTGATGGAGTCCGTTCAAGTTCCTCTCCGCTTGAACTAGGGAGTAACACCCCAGGAAACATTGGTCCTTTCAGGTATTATTCAGGTGGCGGCCTTGTATCTGGTTAAGGCATATTTAAGGAGAAACAGCTATGATACAGGATGCAGGCTAAAACGTACTCGAAGGATATCGGGATGCCATAAAACCAAGAGAACCAAGCCACTTCACCCTTTCAATCCTCCCATCACAACTCTATCATCTCGCTCTTGCAGCCTTCCCATTCTGGAAAATATATGCACGCTCGGCGCTTGGGCTGGAGCCTCCCTCCTAGTAACCCTACTTGCTGATAAGGAACGGGCATTGTCTGTTATCTGCCTCTAGAATCGTAAGGCGAGAGGAGCTTATCCCCGTTGTGGTTAGCAATGCGAGGAACCCCCATCAAAGGTCAATTCCCGGTTAATCTCAGCTAGCTGGCCAAGTCCAACTGCTCGCTGTGCCCCAAGAAACGCCAGTCTCTGCGTGCGTGTGCATGTTGCGACAAGGGCGGGGTCAGGGCAAATAGACAGGCCTCACTCCCCATCGTCAAGATCTCCCTTTTGGCGTCCAAAAGAGTGTGGATAACATGATTTAATATATCACAAAGGATCCGAAACGGGAAATAATTGGGAGACGCGGCGAGGATACGGCCAAGGGCATAACATTACCCTCGCGCTCAGTCGCACCAGAGCTTCGATGATTAATGCTAGAATGCATTGCAAGGTCTCGGGGTTTCGATTGCGGATGAGAAGGAGCTGAAACAATGCCGAAGGCTACCCAGGATGTTGACATCTCGATGATGTAGGCTAAGGGAGGCAAATGGTGAGTGATTGGATGAAGAACTGTAGGCTGTGTTCGTTGTTGGAGTTTGTTGCTGTTGCGTTGTGCGTCGGAGAAATACATATTCGATATTATGGTGGTGACCTCAATCCACGCACCATCCTCCAGCAATTTTCTCACCTCTTTCAATAAGAGTGCTAGCGGCCTATTCAACCAAGCCATCTGTGGTGTTCTGTAGTTTGAGAGCCGAACATGACGAGCAGCTCGTCCTATCCAATGCCAATCCACATTCACGAGCACGATGAGATTCGACTTTCTGACAACACTGTCCTATCGGCAATGGTCTGGCTGCCTGAAGATGCGACGATTAATCCAGTACCAGCAATTCTTGAATATTTGCCTTATAGGAAACGCGATGGAACGGCTGAAAGGGACTCTCTCAATCACTCCTATGTCGCCTCTTATGGATATGCGTGTGTCCGCGTCGACATGCGGGGTAGCGGTGATTCCGAGGGCATTCTACTTGGCGAATATCTCAAGCAGGAGCAGGACGATGCGTTGGAAATCCTGCAATGGATTGCCACACAAGATTGGTGTTCTGGGTCGATTGGTATGATTGGAATCTCGTGGGGTGGGTTCAATGGGTTGCAGGTGGCGGCTCGACGCCCTCCGCAATTGAAAGCAGTCATCTCACTCTGCTCGACCGACGATCGCTACGCAGATGATGTCCATTACATGGGGGGCTGTCTACTTGTCGACAATTTCACGTGGGGCGCGACCATGTTTAGCATCACCCCGACGCCGCCAGACCCAGCCTTGGTGGGCGATAAGTGGCGCGACCAGTGGATGAGCCGCCTGGAAGCTGGCGGTAACTGGATGGTCGAATGGCATGCGCACCAACGGCGCGACGAGTTCTGGAAGCATGCCTCGATCTGCGAAGACTACAGCGCCATTCAGTGCCCCGTCTATCTTGTTGGTGCCTGGTCGGATGGATATTCGAACACGGTCTTTCGGATGCTGGAACACCTCGAATGTCCTCGGAAGGGCCTAATTGGCCCTTGGGCCCATGCGTATCCCAATTTTGCAACGCCTGGTCCACAGATTGGCTTTTTGCAAGAATCCCTCCGCTGGTGGGATAAGTGGTTGAAAGGCAAAGAAACGGGTATCATGGATGAACCAATGCTCCGCTGCTACTTACAAGATTCTGTGCCTCCGCGCACTCGGTATGACTTCCGTCCTGGCCATTGGGTGGCGGAGAACTGCTGGCCGGCTCAAGGTATTATTCTTCACACCATGAGACTCTCAGCAGGGCGGCTAAGTGATGACCTCTCAACGGTCGAAGAGCGGCTTTCGATTTGCTCTCCCATGACGGTTGGGTTCGCTGGGGGTCTCTGGTGCCCGGGTCTCGATCTTGATCTCCCGAGTGATCAGCGCTCCGAAGCAGGCGGCTCCCTACTATTGGACAGTTCGACACTTACTCGACGATTAGATCTCCTCGGTGCCCCAATTGTTTCCCTCCGGATCGCCAGCGACAAACCGAACGCTCTCGTTGTGGCTGTCCTCTCCGAGATTCTACCAGATGGCTCGTCTACGAGGATATCTTTCGGTATGCTTAACCTGACACATCGCAATAGCCATACGGACCTGAAATCTCTCGAAATTGGGCATTTCTATGATGTTTCAATTAAGTTGAACGAGTGTGGCCAATGTATCAGTGCCGGAAGTCGTCTTCGTCTTGCTTTGTCCACCTCATATTTTCCAATCTGCTGGCCCTCGCCGGAGATCGCCACGCTGACAATAGACTGCGCTCAGAGCAAACTAGAGCTTCCAACACGGCCGGAAGGCGAACAAGACTCTCGGTTACGACCATTTGAGCCTGCTGTGAACGGGCTGCCCTTGAAGACCCGGGTATTACGACCAGGGAAGAAAATGAGCGGCACTATCACGGAGGACATCGAGACTGGCACAAAAACGCTTTGCCGGATTTTGGATACAGGGCTTATAGAGTTTGAAGCCATCGGTTGGCATTATGGAGATGCCAGCAAAAGCATATATTCGATTTCCCCGGACGATCCGTTGTCAGCCCGCGCCGAGGTGCAATTCCGACAAGAATACGGCCGCAAGGGACTCGACTTGGTCATCGAGGGGTGGAACAGGATGACGGCCACCCAGACAGATTTCCATCTCAATGCTCGATTTGACGCGTTTGAAAACGGTGTGCAAGTGTTTGGGCGGGACTATTCGTCCACCGTTCCACGCGACCATGTATAGCGGTCTTTTGGGAGGGGAAATTATCCGATCGAGGTATATAGCATGTCGAAGTTCCTGGTACGCCCATGCTTCTCCGCGGCCCCGTCACGCGCTGGGCCTTTTTGAAAACTTCATATCTTGGGACCCGCGCGGTGAAAAGTCCACTCGAACCGTTCTAACCGGTCAGCAGCTCTCTGGGCTGAGTCTTCTCTCAGGGTGTTCGGACTGGAATCTCGAAATCTAAGCCATGTGAACATAAGTCTGCCCATCGTTCCGTCAATATTCCGGCACATATCGGTGGCACTAAGTCCTGAACTGCGAACTACAGCAGCCACCAAAGCACACAATTTTTGACAATTTGAGAATCCCCCCTCAAACTAGAGAATATTGCACTTCCGTATCACGACACCCGCGTCCTAGCCAAAAATTGAAAAGACATCATAAGTCTCGCCTCTGTCAGATCCGCTATTATCAAGCATCATTTCGCCGTTCAATGGTCATGGAGACCGCTCCAGCATTGTAGCTGTGGTGTCAGTTCCCGGAAGGGCTACTTTCTATCTCGTTTCGACTTCATTTCATCTGTTAGTCTCCTAATCTGTATAACCCCCCCCGCCTCCGAAGGTTAGGGTCGTTCCGGACGTATTCCTCGCATTGTTCCTGGGCCTTTTTCACATTCACGCAGCAGATCAGGGCAAACCCGACGACACTGAGCGACAGAGAAAAGGGGAACCCGGTCCAAGTGTTGCCCGTGCGGTCGATGATGACTCCGCAGATGATGGGCCCGATCCAAGCCGTGGAGTTGCTGACGAGCGAATATATGGCGAAGAAGCTGACCTCTCGACCCTTGGGACAAATGTCGCTCAGCATCGTGGCCGAAAAAGCGTAGAAGGGCGAAACCAGCAGGCAATCGAATACCGAGTAGCCCCACACTTCCCAGACCTTGTGGAACCCAAACTTGGTTGTCCCAATACCTATGCATCCTGTTCGCTGTGTCAGTGTTTCGTCTTCTATGAATCCACCATCGGGAAGGGGGGCTTACCCCAGATTGGCACGACAAGGAGAAAGCAACAGATGGTCATGAGCATCGGTTTTGTTCGGATCTTGAATCGCCTCTGGATAAACCACAGACTATAGATGCCAACTGTGCTCGCGACACCCTGGACGATAGAGAGCTCAGTGGAGACCGTGGTACTATAATCGGTGATGAGATACTGGCAGATGCCGTATATCTGATTTGTGGTCGCGTATCCGTCCGATATGAGGAAATAGCCGACAAGGTAAAGCCAGGTTTGGCTGAGCTTTTTGATATTCTTGATTGCGAACCAGTAGTTCTTCGCGCCGATGGAGAAGTAAGTCTCGCCCTCGGGCAGCGGTGTGGAGCGTGATTTTTCCAAGAAGAACCACGGACTTCCAGCCAGGATCCAGATTCCGGTAGAGAGCCCGACGATAATGACCGCCGCTTGCAGATTGCCTGAACCAGACTCGTTTGCGTGCAAACCGAATGCAGCTCCTAGGGCAATCAATAGAGTAAAAGTGAAACCGGCACTGGTGCAGCAGAATGCGATATTGCTGAGTCTGTTTCGTTGAAGCGACTTTCTCCTGCTGTATTCTTCCTCGGTAAGCTCCCCAACCGAATAAGCTCTCTTCGCCTCCAGCGCCTGTGGAGTGTTGCGCGCAAGTTGAGGGAACGACGGCATCCAAAATGCGTAACATAGGTTGTATGACATGCCTGTGGGACATCAGCAAAGAGCCTGCGATAACAACAATTGGATGTTTGCCTACTGGTCAAGATATAGAGCGCGATGGCGATGTTGTACTGCGATGGGTGTTTCAATCCGAGAAAACCGAGTTGCGTGCCCCAGCAGATGACGGATGCGACGATCAAGACCGATTTCTTCCATGGGCCATAGTCTCCCATGGATCCGAGAAAGAGCAGGAGAACACTCTGAAAAGCGAAAACGAGGCCGTTGCAGATCAAGACCACCGTGCTCGCATTGATGTTCCTTGTACCGAACTTGACGAGGCATGGCGCGTTAGGATCACTGCAATCTTGACTCGGGTCGTTTCCGTTGAAACCGGCACCGTAGAGCAGGTATTGGAAGACTGTCGGTCATTAGCCAACTGGGCCCAAACAAACGATCGACTCGAGGGTGCACCCACTCAAGGGAGTGTAGTAAAGAGGACCGGCAGAGTTGTTCCCGAAATAATACGCGTACCATGACCATAACTCGAGCCGGGTTGTCACTGGCTCTTCCGAGGTGACAATTTCCCCAAGCCCAATAGGCACAGCTGCTCCTAGTACCTCGGTGAGTTCTTTCTCTTTGATATCCTTGACCTGTGAGACAAGCTCAACTGCATGGTCTCCGTCGCTCGACATCGCGGAAGCCATGGCGATGAGACGTGATGTTGTGTCCCCAAACGTTGCAGGCCACCGACCCCAAAGGTCTATATAGTTTGGAGAGATGTCCTATCTCCATTAATCAAACGTGGATTAGGGGCCTTGGTTTGCGCGGGGACATCACCACCTTACGAGTGCCGACCTACCCTATCAACCTACCGCCCGAATGAAAGTGTCCTATTGGTAATGAATGGATGTGCTTATCGCCAATCTACCCATTATAACCAGAGGCGAGGGAGTCGAGATATGCAGGATTGACATCGCTGCAGGCCTGCGAGAGGAAGACCGTAGCAGGACTGACTAGAACCCAGTTAGCGAGCAAGGTGAAGTCGCTTGCTACACCACAAACTTTAGAATTTACTATTGTACTAGCGGTGGAGAAATTGTGGAGACAAAATTGGCGCCTCCATTCTGGGCCTTAATCAGGAATAGCTTCTCGCATCGGCTCCATCGCCTATCAGGATGTTTTGAGGCACGGGAATCGATGCGGGATAGTCCTTCTGGCAGACGGCTGCCGTCCACGACATCGACGCTACTGTAATTCCGGGCGCTGAGAGCGAGTTCTAGCTACGAAATCCACTTGTTCACGTTGGTCCACATTCAACATCGACCTCTCATTCTTCCAATGCGATACTTCAAGTGTGACAACAGTGGGTGCTGTTACCGGAAAAAGGAAGCATTTGCGTCTCAGAAAGCCAAATTACCCAGAAGCATGAAAGTGATTCAGAGAGAGGGCTACAGCCAATGAAGAGTTCAGATGTTCTTCTGCCAGAATCCCATTTAAGATGCTTGGAAGAGTAGGAAGGCTGTCTTAGAACGTGAATTGGGTTTCAGGAGAGCGCTTACGTTCAATGCGGACAGCTTGATGCTAACAGCACACCCGTCGGCTTCCCAACTGTGGTGCACAACACCTTCGTATCTCAAGTCCTTCATGAGAGGCTCTGATTTCCTCCTTGTTTCAAGGTGATCACATGGGCAGTTAAAAATATCCATCCACTTCAGCTCTTCACACCCTCCTCTGATTAATGACCTATTCGTCAAATCGCAGGCAGTTGTCTGGCATATTTAAAAATTGGCAAGAGCGTCCCTGCTCCAGCGATGGGCCAACTACAGTTTTGCGGTGATGCTTTCGGCAAGCTTCTCGATCTCATAGAATTGTAGATACCACTCATTGAAGCTGCTCGCGCTCTTCCTGTGTCACTTTCAGCCTGGTGGGACATTTGTTCTTCGGCATTCTGAGCGATCATTGGTCTCGCCGGAATACGTTGCTCATTTCCACCATCAGTACGACCCGTCCCGAACCCTAGCACCCCCAAAATCGGTGCTAATGGATATGGGTAGTTCTCATTATCTTTTCGATCCTTTGCGCCGGCGCATATGGAGCCGGCGGCAGCACCCAAGGCCTGTTCGCTGCGCTCTCAGCCTACCGTTTCCTGATCGGTTTAGGAATAGGAGGGGAATAGTAAGACATTCTCTCTCCGTCTTCCCTCGAAGATCTACTGACATATACAAAGCCCTGCTGGCTCAGTTGGCGCAGCCGAATCGACCGGCGAACTCAAGAAAGGCCATCGCAATCGCTGGTTCATCCTGGCGACCGACTTTCAAATTGATCTCGGCTTTGTCATCAGCGCATTCGTCCCGATGATCGTGGTGCTTGCGACTGGTGAAAACCATCTGCGTGCAGCATGGAGAATCTGTCTGGCTCTCGGCGCGATTCCGCCTCTCAGCCTGCTCTACCTCCGGTGAGCTGTCCACATTTGCATTTGGGGAAAGCCTCATTACTGATGTGCCTCAGAATCAAGCTGCAAGAACCAGAGCAATATAACCGCAACAAGATGAATAAGTTCCCTGTGTGGCTGATTGTCAAGTTCTATTGGTGGAGATGTACGGTTATTTCAATCATCTGGTTTGTCTATGTAAGTCTGAATCCTTGTGTCCGCGCTGGTGGCCTATCCTGATCGAGTGGCAGAACTTCTCCGCTTACTCCTTCGGCATCTTCGCATCGTCCTGGCTCGTTTTCATCCTGCCCACCGATGCACCCCTCTGGAAGAATTTCGGCATGGCCACCGCAATCAACAGGTGAGTTCGTCTTCTCGTTGAAAGACTGCCTTATAGCCGGAGCAGTCAATGTCATCACCGGGCTTTGATCAAATTCAGTACAAAGGCTAACACACCCCTGCAGTTTCTGGATCCCAGGTTCGTTTTTGGGTGCTTTCCTTGCTGATTGGATTGGTCCCAAATGGTGCCTTATCGCGGGCGTCTTGTTGCAAGGGATCGTCGGATTTGCCATGACTGGCGCCTACGCGGAACTCAACCACCCGTCTCGAGTTGCCGGGTTCATCATCCTGACTGGTATCTTCATGGCTTTGGGCGAGGTAGGACCAGGCGACAACATCGGCCTCTTTGCTTCGAAACTCTCCTCCACTCCTATCCGAGGACAGTTCTACGGCATTGCAGCGGCGTGGGGGAAAGTGGGTGCTTTTGTCGGCACCTATGTCTTCCCGCTCTTGATCGATGCTGCCGGCGACGACACGGTCAAGCAAGGGCAATACCCCTTCTGGGTAAGCAGTAGCCTGTGCATCTTCAGCGCGATCGTGGCCTTCGTGGGACTGCCAAACGTAGGGCAGGGCATGATTGAGGAAGAGGACGAGCGGTTCCGGCGCTATTTGGAGGAGCATGGCTACGACACGAGCAAGCTGGGGACTAAGAAGTTCAGAGAGGAGACGACCGGAGCACTGTAGTCAGAGCAAGAAGAGTGGTGGCTTGTTGGGAGTTTTTGAGAGCAACCACAGCAGCACGCCACGTCCATTACCTTGTCCACGTCAGCAAGAACATCCATCGATACCCATTGTTTGAATATGTTATATATTGGAATATCGACTCAATACACATACACATAATAATGCTCCCTATTTCACGCGCTCCCACGATCCAGTTAGCATTAAGACTCAAACGCCCTGAGTTGATGGAGATCAGCAAGTAACTCACTAGCCTTCGAGACTCCTAAATCGTGTCTTTACCGAGATAATCCTGGTCAGTGACTTCAGTTCGTACGGAGTACATCATTTGGGCACACGAAGCTGAGACGATCAGCGAGGCTCGCCATCTCCCCCCACCACTCTCTCCATATCGTCGCTGTGAAAGAGCAAAGGAGAGGGAGAAGGTCTTTAGGCGTCCCGTCTACCCTGTCTCACTGCCTTGCTGCCGCGTCCTTTGTACACGCAATTTCTCCGTCCATTCCAAACGGGGTACAAACATTCCACCTACCAACCCATTGGGCCCGTTAAGGTCCATATGTAAAGGCTGGTGTAAAGCACAGAACGGAAACTTCTTCGAGGAGGGGGACTCGGTACGTACAGAAAAGCAGGACCGCGCTCACTCAACTCTCACACATACGTGCTCACTCACTCACTCACATCCTTGCATGACCTGTTTCTCACTCTCACTCCCTTCTTCGACTTTCATTCCTGTCTGCCTTAGGCGTCCTAGACGAGGGATTGATCCTGTTGGCCTGGAGAGAAGCATGTGTGTATATGTATGTGTGTATGTGAAAAGAAGTGGCATAGGCAAGGGGATATACAATCTCACCGTCTGTGTTGTGACTTCAGATTCAAGAAGGGGAACACCATCACGTTCAAGACAAGGCCCTGGAAAAGGCTAGGCTCTCATCTAGAACATTCTCTTTGGATGATACCGCCAGTGCGAAGGCTCAATATGTCGGCCACTACAAGTACAACGACAACTACGACGAGTCAGGTCCCGGTTTCATACCCTGTCGGCCTCAAGGACAAGGACACACTGACAGCCTCGTTCAACTACTGGGGCAGCACTTCGGTCCCTCAGGAATCCGAAATCCTGCACATTTTCAATGGCTCGTCGACGGAGCTGCAGCGCGTTCAATGCCCCGTCACTGACATCCGCGCTCTCGGTCTCTCCTCCTTCAACCTCTCCACCCACGGCTTCCAAGTCCTGCGGCACTCTTCGGGCCTTCTGCCGGCGCAGAGCGACTCCGTCCCCGACTTCCACAACACGGACCTGATCAACGCCACCTACTGGCCGGAACTCGTGTCACTCTTGAAAGCGCAACTGGGCGTGCGCAGCGCCGCGGCCGTCAACACCACCGCCAGAGACATCAAGGAGACCGACAGGGACGGCTTCGACCCCAAGAATCCCAGGTTCATCAAGCAGAGCATGCAGCCTTTCTTCATCGTCCACGGCGACTATACCCCCGCGGGAGCCAGAGCACAACTGCGAGCCATCGTGCCGACGTACTTCGAGGACAACAACAACATGGAAGGCACGACGGAGTCGGAGAGGGCCGAGTTCTTCAGACTGCGCGACGAGATCATCGGCGGTGAGGACGAAGCCATGAGACAGGAAGGCATAAGCGACCACTGGCAATGGAGCGGGAAGAACTACAGTGGTCCGCGATGGGCTATGCTGAGTGTGTGGCGACCTCTAGAACCCGTCCGTCGCGATCCCCTGGGTGTCATGGACCCGCGAACACTACTACAGCCCAACACCGCCAAGCCACCGTATATCGCGCTTCAGCGCGTCTACAAGGGCCGGCCGGGCTTCGCGCAAGAATTCCGCAGCGAGAACATCCTCGCCGTCGCGCCCGACCAGCAGCAGCACGGAAACAAGATGCACACACACCAGTGGTACTATATCAGCCAGCAGACGCCCGACGAGGTGTATGCCCTGAAGCTGTTTGACAGCGAGACGCACCGCCGCGGCGGCGGGAGGAGCGAGAGCGAGAGCGAAGAGGTCGTGCAGTTCGTCGCGCACAGTGCGTTTACTCTCCCCCAGCAGGAGAACGAGAGGCTCCAACGGAGCGTCGAGGTGAGGATGTTGGTTGTTTGGTAGTCAGTATCTCCCTATACGGACCTCATGTTAATAAGTAGGCCCAGAAACCCCCTTTGAGTCCATGGGGAAAAGGTGTGGTAAACCCCGTCGACGTTGGCGAAAAAAACGGGAGGAGAAACATATTACGATGGAAAGAATCGTCTCGAAGATGGAATGCATTATCTTGGTGCAAAAAGCCATGCATTGTTTGCGTTGCATTTCGGCGGTATAATATCTTTCTCGTCAATGTTCGCTGTGATCCAGCAGCTCTCCGGTCTCTCTCTTTCTGCTTAGTCTTCCATGTAGAACCATGTTCAAATAGACATCAGAATCGACGAACCTGAGCTTGGACACAACTAGACCGGGACAGGAATTTCCACGCTCTTCTCTGTACTAGCATGCAGGCTATTCTCCTTGACGACGCCATTCTCCCCCTCCTTGTATACAACCGTGAATCCCTTCCACTCGCCCAGCGTGTCGCGGCACTGCGTCTCGTACATCTGGATGCCGCCGGGGTGTGTCAGGATCTGAACCTTCTTCCCGGGGATGTTTGACGCGTTCCACCAGCTGTTTGTTAGAGGGAAGAGCGTGTGCTTGTTCATGGCGTCGATCATGGCGTCCCATTCATCCTCGGCGTCGCGGTTCGGCTCGATCGTCTTGGCGCCTTCCTTCTCCAGCTTCTCGATGGCGGTCAGGATGAAATCACTTTGTGCTTCGATAATGGTAGGTCCGTTGGACAGTGCCGTTGGTGCTGTGTAAGCAAGTCAGAATTGAGCGGGTTAGCCGCCTGGAAGAGAAAGGGGACCACCGCGTACCATGAGGCGTGTAGACCATGAAAGCGTTGGGGAAGCCGTTGAACGTCATCCCAAGGTACGTCCGGATACCGTCTTTCCAGACATCCTTGATATCAACACCATCCTTGTTTTTCAATCCCATTTGCGTTAACCTGGAACCGGTCAGGTGGTGATCTTCACATGAAATAGCCGGCTAGAACTTACGATCCGGAAAACGAGTCGAAACCAGTCGCGAGAACCACCACGTCGAAATCCAGCTGGGTGCCGTCCTCCATCGACATGCCGGTTGCGTTGAAAGTCTTAAGCGGGTTCTGGTTCATGTTAATGATGTCGACATTCGGGCGATCAAGCATCTCATAATAGTCCTGCTCCAAAGGACATCTCTTCGTGCCGAAATAATAAGGCGCCTCGACTGGCACCATCAGCTCTTGTTTCTTCGGGTCCTTGATCCTCTGCCTCATCTTCTTGGCCCAGAAATCGTATACTTTCTGATTCGCTTCTTTGCTCAGGACGACGTCGTTGTAGTTCACCATGAGGTAGTTGAAGCCGCCTCTAGCCCAGATGTCTTCGAAATGCCGCTCACGCTCTTCGTCGGATACGTCAAACACGCCGCATGGCTCGGCTGTGCCGGGAAATCCGGCCCTTGACTGACGACCTTCGCGAAATAGCGCCTGGAAATAAGTCTTCCAGCTCTTTTGTTCTTCAGGGCTGAGTGGGCGTTGGCCCATAGGCAAGCATAGACTGGGCCGCCGCATGAAGACGGTGAGTTGGTCGGCTTCCTTGGCCAATTCTTGCACAACTTGAACGGCAGTGGCGCCGGCTCCAATGACTGCCACCCTCTTTCCTTTCACACTCATGTCTTCCGGCCAGAAGCCTGTGTGGTGCAGGATTCCTTTGTATGTCGTCAAGCCGGGGAAATCCGGGACATGCCTACGGTGCAGCAGTCCAGTGCACAGAATTAAGTATTTGCTCTGCGCAATGTGTCCCTGTTCGGTCTTGACGGTCCATATCTCGTCGGTCTTGCTCCATCGGGCATCGACTACATGCGCGTTGAACTGGACGTCCTTGCGCAGGTTCAAAACCTTGTCGACATGCGCGCAGTACGCGCGGATCTCCTTGTGACCTGGGAACTTTTCGGTGAACTCCCAGTCCCGGTATGCTTCAGGGATATTCAACTGGTAGTAGGGCCATTCGGAATCCACGCGGGCCCCAGGATACCGGTTCCAGTACCAGACGCCGCCAAAGTCGCCTCCAGATTCAAAGACCTTTGCGGCGAATCCAGCCTTGCGGAGACGATATAGCATGGACATACCACTGAAGCCCGCCCCAACGACCAGGACGTCGCAATGGACGATAGCGCCCAGGGATGGGTTTGTGTCTGTCATCTTGTTGGGATTAAAGAAAGGTATACGGGTAAGTCAAGGCAAGAGTCGTGCAGACGAGAGAAGAAGGATATACTCTTGTCGCAATCGAAGGGGAGATCTGTCACACCCTTTATGCACCTTTTATCCCGCGGGCCATGTCATGAAGCCGCACTCGGCACCTTTGTCCTAGATATCTCCAGGTGTTCCTGATTTGCTACCGAGGATCCATTCACATGCCAAGGTCAGCTGACAGTGGCGGGTGTGGCATTCTCCACAACCCTGTTGGGCGGGTTTGCGATGGGCCGATGGAGGATGGAAGCGGAGTGAGGGGTCTGAACACGACATACCCGTGGAACGCCCTACCTAGCATTCGATTTTTATATTGCCGGATACTGCGATTGCCGAGGTCCTCTCAAGATGTGGAAAGTTTACCAGCTCCAAATCCAAGACATGCTCTGCCAGTGCCAGAAGAGTAAATATCTATGTCTCAGGCGTAGCAGCCTCACGTGCGAAGCGAGACATCGAGGGGTTACACAGCATTTTCCAGTGAGTCTAGACTGTCGGTGGGCTGCACAGGTACTGCCCAGTACCGGCTAATACCCAAACCAGGAGTCCGCGCTAGTGTCAATAAGCAAGGCTGCGGGGGATCGCGTGTGCTGACATACCCAAATAGAACGATGAAACTCCTCAATTCAGTCCTCCTATGCCAGATGAGCCTCGGACCCGAAGGAATCATTCGCAGCAACTTCGGCAATTGTACATCTCCAGTCTCTGAATTTCCTGGCGGGTAAACGATGCTCAAACATGATATCGATCTCTGCTGGAGTGCGTTCCTTCATTTCGGGAACGAAGAGCCAAGTCATCAGCAAAGCGATGGCAGAGAAGCCTGCAATGAGAAATCCTGCCTTGGCCCTGAGGTCACCCTGGTCGACATTGTACGCATAAGGGAGACTGATACCGAAGGCTCCCTGCGCTAGAGCTCCCGAAAACCATCCGATGCCCTGTGTCTTTGCACGAAGTCGAAGAGCCGACGTTTCGGCGCCGACAACGTACGAGACCGGCCATATTCCAACCCCTACGACCACGATAACTACCATCATGGTAACCGCTGTGTACCTGCAGATAGATCAGCCGCCACCTTGAATGAAGAGGAGAAATTCATACCAGATCACGACGACACCGTCAAAGCACCCTGCGATCCCCATGCCCAGCCAGAGGACCGTGCTACCAATCAACGTCGTCATGCCAAGGACTCGCCGCCCAACCTTTGTCACAACCCACATGCTGACAATATTGGCGAGTAGCCCAAGCCCAACGCCAAGTTGAAGGAATAGAAGAGCATTGTCTGCACTCATGCCGACGACCTGGATGAAATAGCTGGCATCAGCGAGAAGGGAAAGTCCAAAAAGCTGAGGGAGCGTGTTTGCGAAGATGACAATCAGCGTGCGTCGTCTGTTTGTGCCTTGAAAACATTCCATGTACGTCGCCCGATCGTGTCTGGCGCGTTCCTCCTCTTTCTGCAACGAGAACAACAGAGCATCGATGTTCTTCCGGGTGTCCGTTCTCGAAGTATCAAGGCGTTGCTGAGCTTTAAATGCCTTGTCATATTTCCTCTTTCGGAGCAGATAAGCCGGACTCTCTGGCACCAGCAGAGCCAGGACGAAAGGGATAGCAGAAAACGCCCACTGTGCGACCATCGGGGTGGTGTAAGGCCGATCACCCGGGTACTTCAAGGAAGTATAGACGACGACTGCGCCAATCAGTTGACCGAGGAGCGTGAAGACCGGGAAGAAGGCCATGACTGATCCCCTCAGCTTCGGAGGCAGGATCTCAGAGAGGTAGGTCTGAGTGGTACACAGGAGCGATCCGATGGCCAACCCCATAATGAGCTTGGCTGCGAGAAAAGTCCCCCTCCGTAAATTCAGTGCGCCGAGGAAATGCGAGCAATATATGATGGCCACTCCCACAGCTGACAAGAGGCTTCCCAGAGCGAGTGTCGGACGCCGCCCAACACGGTCCTGAAGCCAGCCAGCGACAATGCTTCCGATCATAATGCCAATCGGACTGACAGCATTCCAAAGCCCCATCCACATTGACGGGATGATGTGGCGGCTATTCAATTCGCGGCCATAGTCTTCCCTGAGAACGATACGATTAACCCTAGGGACGGTATAAACACCAGGGATGTGGCATACTCACTGAAACGCTGGGATGGCCGACACGTTGCCCACTATCGACGTGTCAAATCCATAGAGCAAGATGGCTGCCGTCAAACCGAAAGAATATCCTAGGACCTTGGGCCATTTCCTGATGGATTTCCACAGTGTCGGCTCATCGCCAACCGACTGTTCCGTTGTCTGTGGCGAGAGTACGAGACTCGGGGTCGCGAGAGAAACGTCCTTGTCGGCCATGTCGGTCCTATCTGTAGAGAGTGTGTTGTGGGCGAACGGAGTAGCAGGAGCAGCTGAGATTGCGACAGGGACATTCTTCTTTTAATCCTACCATGGCCTGTAACCCCGCAGTGTGATGCGCGCCGCTTCCGTGAAGGGGGTGCGAACCAACGGAGTCCGGGGGCGGGCATCATGGAGGGTTCGCCTATGGTAAAGCGCGTGGCGGACGCTTGGCTGGCTCCCCAAGAACAGGCATGTTTGAGTAGGATGGTGGTGGTGATGGATTTCTGTAAGAGGAAGTTCGTCTCGCTTGGTCGCCAATCAAACCGCTTTCACTTGCCCCTTGGCAGCCATGTCGAGCTTTTTGATCCTTTTCCCAAACTTGGAACAAACCTGCCATCTTGAGCATTTGACGCATGACAGATGAGAGAAGACTGATGATGGAGATGAGAGATCTGAAGACCTCCTACTGCTGTTAAAGACTGTCACAAAGACTATTACGACCAGACTCAATAACAGCTGCTAATAATGTATAGACGCCACTGGACAACAGCGATATTCTGGGACAGGTTAGTGCGCGCACGTGACAGGACCATCTTGGCATTGCCTTTCGTATCGGTTGCCGGAACTGGGTTAGTGCGATACTAGCTTGTCACGCTTGCGACGTTAGCACCACTAGGCCTTGGCATATCTCGGTCTATTCGGTACAGTGACGGCGACAGTGAAGAAGCTTGTTTTCTTTCCTCTTCAGCTTATTATTCACGATAGATAGCAACCATAATAGCAACACGGACTCAATCTGCTCCACCTGTGCCCATACCGTCACACATGACAGACGACACAAGACTCATGGAGCTGAGAGTTCTGATTACACCCTACCGCTGTTACCGAGAATTGACTTGGGCAATCGCAGGATACACGGCATACACACATTCACACATTGCCGTGCCTCTCTGCCGAGATATCTCAAGTTTTAGTGCTTGTCTTCATCCTCGTCATAATGTCCGGACGGATCATCCTTCAATGACGGGTCTAGAACAACACGTGGGTCATCACTTTCCACCCACCCACAGAACGGCTGGCTTAGCTTGTAACCCATGAGCTGTTGAATATGAACAGGCATTTTAAGCACCACGTCCCTTGGAATTGCCAGGTATTCTATCACAGCTTGTTAGCCTTTACAGCTGTCAAAAGAGAAGGGAAGGCAACTCACGGTTTTCCTCCTGGCGCAACCAGCCCTTGGTCATGAAGCAACTGAAATGGTCAGCCCTTCGTCTTTTCTGTGTTTTTATACATGGGAGCTTACCTGAAGAGCAAGCGTTCCTGGTCTGTTGTCTTGTTGGCAGATCCACCATGATAACATGAGCTCAACATCATAAAGGCATCCTATTTACACCATTAGTGCCTTCAGGTGTCGACGTGACGAAGGGTACTTACACCTGGTTCTAACTCTGCATGTACAGCAAGTTCCTCCTGAGGAGGTCGGTCCTTGGACCAGAGATGACTGCCCGGAATAAACCTCGTCGCACCGTTTTCCCGAGTTGCCGGTTTGCCAGCAATGAACCAGCCGATGCCAACATCTCGGTCATAATTGTCAGGATAAACGGCGACTTCTTGCTCATTAGTCTGGTGACACCAACTATCCCTATGCAGAGGCTGATCCCATGCTCCTGGTCCGATGGAGAAGCATATCGAATTGTTGAGTTGGGGATCCGACGTTGCGAAGATTTTCTTCTGTCCACTCCAATACCAGTTCTTGGTCGTCAGGAACTCCTTGCACACAGCCTGATAGAGCGGATGGTTGATGATATGCTCAGCACAGATTGGACTCTTGCCAATCATGCCTTCAACCCTCCGGGTTTGAATTGGAAAGAAGTCTCCCTCCCACACAACATCCGCTTCGATGTGTGGACGCAGCTCTCTTTCCACCTGGCAAAGGATGTCCTTATCAACAGCTGCTTTGACCCTGCATCCGCCACTGATTTTCAGGGCTTTGATGACATCTGCTGGATCCGCATCAGCCTCAAAGGTGAGGACGGGTGGAAGACTCTCAGCTTTGATTGGGATGAATGCCCTTTCCGTCTCAGTGGTTGTGACTGTTGTGGTTGCCATTCTCCGCTGTTCTTTACAACTTTCCCAGGCTCATTTCCCTGCCCTCACGAGCCCGTATATAACAGATCGCGTTCCTCCACTGACGAGTCATAACCTTTCCTACCAAAATAGGCAATTGTGGCTTACTCGTATTTCTTATCTCAGAGGCTGGTTCAAGTCGGTCATCTCCACAAACTCAGTTGCCTAATCCGGCGTTATCACCCTGCGACATTTCGCTTAGCTTGGAAGCTAGCCCTGAAGCCGAACCACTTAGCTGCCGAGGCTGTTGCATAGTATATCTCGTCAACCTATCGCAAGGGTCTGGACCGTACAGGACTAATCTCTCATTCCTAGAGGGGCAATCGAGGTCTATCCCCAGCTTATCACGCCGAGCTTCGCGTTCGTATAGACGAGCAGATACATATCATGGAAGCAGGCCTTCTGCCTCGTGGGCAGCGACATCTTCTTCAATCTCTTCGGAACAGACTTCCGTTCCAAACGCCTCAGTATGGCGACTTCCTCCGCCGCAGGAGACCGCAAAAATGCACAGATCGACATCGACGACCTCGAACTGCAGGCCCAGGGTTATACCCGAGCTATGCCGCGTCGATTCTCTCTACTCTCCCTGATATCGCTTTCTTATGCTCTCCTTGCAACCTGGAACGGCTTTGGCAGTGCTTTCGGTACTGGCTTTATCGAGGCCTCTTCTGCCGGTTCCATCTGGACTCTCACCATCGCCGCGTTGATGACTGCAGTCACAGGAATTGGCATGGCTGAATTGTCTAGTGCCTTTCCTGTAGCCGGCGCTCAGTACTACTGGTCCTTTGTGGTTTCCAGTCCTGAATGGGCTCCATTTGCTTCGTACATGTAAGTCGAAAAAAATGACCGTGTACAGCTCTTGCTAAGCCATGCCAGATCTGCGGGAATCAGCACATTAGGATGGTGGCTAGGTCTTGCTAGCGTGACAAACTTCATTGCAGCTATGATCACTGGGATTGCCGTGCTCAACCATCCAGACTATGTCATAGAAAGGTGGCATATCTGGTTGGTTTTTGTGGTGGTTACTTGGTTGGCCATTGCGCTGAACGTTTTTGCGACAAAATGGCTTCCCATGTGGAACAAGTTTATTCGTACGGCTTCCTTCTCGGATTACTGTGATATGCACTGATATGGGACCAGTCTACTTCTCGGCAGTCACTATGGTTGTTACGATGATCACGATTTTGGCGTGTGCCGCTCCAAATTATCAATCCGCCAAATTTGTCTTTTCCGACACCACCAACTCCACTGGATGGTCGAATGACGGCCTTGCCTTCCTTCTCTGCATTGTGAATGCTCTCTATGGTTTTCTTGGCGTAGATGCTGGTGCGCATTTGTGAGTATCTGCAAGATTCAGCGTCATTGGGAGGAACAATTGTCGCTGCGCCTCAAAATCAACCGCAAATGTTAACGGCAAGATACAGGTGCGAAGAGATCCCAAATCCGACGGTCAACGTACCGAAAGTGATTGTGAGGCCACCTGTCCGAGCGCAAGAGCACATCGACTGACTATTTCAGATGTATCCGGTTATAATGGGATTTGTCACATGTGAGTGATTCAGATATTCAAGGACAGTGATATTGACAAGATTCAGCTTTCCCTTATGCGATCTCGCTGTCGTTTGTGATCACCGACTTCGAAAAGGTTATCTCGACTCCCACCGGCCTCCCTCTTATCGAGGTCTACTATCAAGCAACGGGCAGTAAAGCTGGCACTTCGATCCTCATGGTGGCATTTGCCATCTGTTTCTTCGGATGTGCTAGTGCAAACATTACCAGTGCGAGTCGACAAATGTGGTCAGCCTCAAGGGACGACTGTTTTCCTCTGTCAAAGTATTGGAAGCAAGTCCACCCCCGATGGCAGATGCCGCTGAATGCAGCATGCTTGCAAGGAACCCTCGTTTCGGTGGGTCACTAGCCGGCAAAGCAATCGCTCACCTGCTGACCATGACCCAGCTATACGGCCTGATCTTCTTGGGTTCTTCGGCAGCATTCTCTTCCATGGTTGGAGCTTGCATCGTATTCATGACGACGTCGTATGTTATTCCTCAAGGCATCTTGGCCTGGCGTGGACGAGACAAGATTCTCCCGCCTAGAGCATTAGATCTGGGGAGATATGGTCTGCCTCTGAACGTGCTTGCTTGCGTCTGGGTGGTCTTCATCGACATCATCTACTGCATCCCTGTTTCATACCCTGTCACACTCGAGAACATGAACTGGATCAGGTAAGTGCCAATACACGTGTGAAGTGAGCCTGCTGACGGCATGCTAGCGTGGTCACCGTTGGTCTGGTTTCATTCCTTCTCATCACTTGGTTCACGAACCAGAGACATGTTTTCAAAGGGCCAAACATCAACTTCGAACTTCTTCAGGCGGCTCGCCATGATGAGCTCCTTGGCCACCGGACAATCGAAGGAGTAGCAATCGGAGACGACAATGAGGTCATCGAGGCACTTAGACAGCGCTCAATATCCTCAGCCAAGAAGGCGTAGCAAGGTATATTACCAGCCGAGGCCGGTGTATTGATAGAGAAGATAGAGCTCTTTTGGCAACGAAACAGTCCCAGTCTGTATTTGTGGGACTTGATAATATCTCCCGCCCGCACAATCTATTCCTGTTTCGGTCGTCGATTATAATATTATCCACAATCTTTTACCTTCGTACCATGTCCGCATGGCCGCTTCGGTCTGGGTGTTTGAGACAGGCGCCGCTAGTGCGCATCTAGTTCCAAGTCGCCAAAAGTTGACGTTTCCCATTTCTTCTCCTCCTTCTACCAAGTCCGACCATCTTCAGCTTCACCCATCTGTCTCGATGAGTTCTCATGGACCCGAATTCTCTCACATGCCATCTTCAAGATAGTAACAATTGATGCTGCAGGCAGACATCCACAATGACAACCACGTTATCTCCTTATCAGCAAGGCTCATCCGTGGCGAAGACTCGCCGGACTAACTCTCTGGCCTTTGCGAAATCCAACTGTCACAACTGTGAATCATTCGGCTTACATTGCGACAGACAGAGGCCGCGATGCACGACATGCCAACAAGCAGGACGGCTTTGCCAGGGTTATTCCATGCAGTTGACATGGCACCGCAATCACTCTGCCGCTGATAAGCCCCCGAAAGTCCGGGCGACCCTTTCCCCGGCGAGAGTTGACACGGCCGCGTCGTCTTGCATCGGCAATGGTCTGCCTCATGATTCTCAAGAGGGCCATGGCGAGAGGTCTGCCCCCAGTCAGCCGCGGCAATACATGTTCGTTGCCGGACGACCAGCGAAAAGACGAAAGCGCCAGCATGTCCCGGGAAGCACGACGACAAGCCAGGGCTCATTCGATATCAACAACGTCACCCGTGCGGATGACGACTCGAATCCCCCTCAGGCGCCAATAGATGCATACCAAGTCCCTTCGGTGGCCAGGGAATATCTGGGAGCCCGGGCACAGGTCGAGCTGTATCCGCTACAATTGCAGTCTCCCTCGGCCGCTACATGGCTACCTGGCCAGTTAGATTCGGACATAATAAGCGAAGTTCAAGCTGTGGGGACTCCTGACAGCGAGAGTCTGGAACAATGTCTGCAAATCCAGCATTCTCAAAGTTCACCAGCAGCATGGAGTCCTGTTTCGTCGGAGAGTGTCTACAGCTCCTCGTCTGAGACTGGACGCCTCACAGACTCGGGATATGCGAGCCAAATCAGCCTCTCGCACATCCCCCAAGTCTGCTTTCCGACATTGCACGACAAGTTTTCGGGCCTTCTCGATATGTGTATGTGAACCGATTGTCCAGCTCTGACGAACCCAGAAAGCTATTTCCTGACTTTGGCCATTCCAGATGATCAAGAATTCTGCAAATACCCAATCACCAGCGACTTCAGCGTCAACCCCTACCGCTATCGACCCGAAACCACCAAAGGCTCTCAACATTTGCTGCATGCCATTATGGCCATTTCATGCCACTTTCGGTTGCGATCGCCTTCTCAGCCTTCTCCGCCCGTGGAGACTTTGAGCCACAAAAACACGGCAATGACGTTATATCAGGGGGCATTGACAGAGGCCGACATTTATAACAACGCTTTGAGCCTGCTGGACACGGCACTCGCTCTGTGGCAACTTGAGGTGCGTGACCGCGGCAGGCGATGTTCGTTTTATGCTAATTTGGCTTTCGCCGAAAGGCCACCATCTCATCACTCAATATATGGAGATCTCACTTGACCGATGCATATCACCTTCTCGAGCTCTACGGTGGGGTGAGAAGATGGTCAGCGAGCAGGAAGGCAAATGTCCAAGTCTCCATGATTCTTTGGTAAGCCTGAGCACGACCTACCACTCTTTCCGAAATCCTTGGTTGATCAGCCCAGGTGGGATGCCATGGTATCCCTTTTAGCACGAACAGAATGCGTTCTCCCCTACGCATACCTCGAAACTGTCCTCAAAACCGAAGGACGTCAGCCTTGGACATTCTACCAGCTGAACGGCTGCCCACGGGAACTGTTCGTTCCGATGATGCAGCTCGCCAACCTCTCTGGGCGAAAGTGGAGCAAGGCGGTGTCGGGGCTGGTGGCGGAAATTGAGCAGTCAATTACAAAGTACGAATATCCCGGCCGAGGCCTTCAGTGCGACTCGGACGACGACGAGGAAGCTATGCACACCGAACGCGATCGATATCACTGTTGCGAGGGATTCCGGTACGCATTGTTGATCTACATCCTCAGGGTATTTAAGAGCCAAAGGAGTGATCGTCCGAGAAAGCTGGGAGCACGAATTTCGTTCCTTTCCCGACTTTGCCTCGACCACGTCGCGGCCTGCCGACCCACTTCGTTGATTCAGAAGCAGCTCCTCTTCCCCGTCTTCATAGCGGGATCAGAGACACGCCATTTCACGCATCGCGAGCTTGCGGAAGAATACTGCAGGCGGTGGTACGGAAAGTTCGGATATCAGATGTACGTGACCGTGCTGAGTGTCATGGAGAACGTCTGGACCAAACAGGATGCGGGGGAGGAAGACTTTTGGTGGGGAGATGAGCTTGATGCACGGCGAGCGGAAGAGGGAGATTTTGTACAGTTTTGTTTTGGATGAATCGGGGCCCCGTCTCATCTTGCGCGGAAGCTCAGAAGCCGGTTTCGCCGCTTGAAGCTTTGGGCTCTGCCGGAGTTGACTCATCAGATCAGCTGGTGGCCGGAAAGCTCGTTCATGAGAAAATCTGACGAATCGCTCCATGAGTTGCGACCCATTGGGCAACATGACACCGAAAGAACTTCTGGTCCCCCGGCACGAGACTCGGGTCACATGTGCGATTCGGGGTACCCTGTCGGCAATACTTATTCAATCATTCATTCAGTCCTTCCCGCCGCCAGAAGAAGTCATGGTCGTCGTGGTGCCATATCCCGTCGCATAGTCCTTGACATGACACCCCGCCGCCTCGGCCTCGGTTCTCGCGCGTTCATTTTCCGTGGTGATTCGCGCACATTGCGCTGTTTTGTCTGAATCTCGCGACACACGTCGCCCTCTCCCTCGACTGGGTTCGCCGGCGGCGGCAACGGTACGGACCGGGAGGTTGCACTGGTGGTCTTGGTCTTCTTTGACTTCGGGGTCGTCGTCATCGTTTGAGTGTAAACGGAAGGTTGAAGACGAGGCAAACTCGGAGGACTCGGTGCTGCTGCAGCTGCTGCGGGACATGATGTTACTTTTGCTTCTACGGTTGGGGTTCGATAAAGTGGTGGACGAAAAAGTTGGTGTGGATGTGAATGTGAGCCAGCCCTTGTCGTGTCTCGGGGAGAACGGCAGTTTTTTTTTTTGTTTTTGTTTTTTCAGGTTGTTGCCCACCTTGTTTGGTGTCTGTGTGTGGCCGCTTTGACAGTGGGCATGAGCACGAAGGCAGGAATGGGACGCAGGTGGTTGTTTTGACCGACGAACCTTGTTGCATTGAGCGCTCGCTTCCCTGGGCTGAGTTGAGACGAGAGGACTTGTTTGAAGGTGTCGCGGGGATTGTTGATGAGGGCAAAACACAGAGCACACAGGATGGAAGGTCAATTGCGCGGGTTGTATGTCAGGGAGAGCATGCCGACATGAGTGAACGAGTGAGCGAGTGAGTGGCAGTGAAGAGCGGCAGTGACGCTTAACAGCAAAGAGTGAAGGATAACAAACAAGAGAGGCATCCTGCGCCATCGAAAGCATCAGTGATGCATGACTCTTCAGTATAACGAATTGCACAATGACACTCAACCCTCAGTAATTGCCCCAGATATACCTGGTATACCATACCTCGCATTCCCAAAACTTGCCGACGTGTCTTCTATATCAACTCTTGTCGAATACTTGCTGCCCACCCCTCATTTCCATATCGAAAGAGGAGGGAACGTGATCGACTTTTCATTGTCTGCAAAGTCAGCGGTCGATATCGTGTTCTCGTTGCCGATCATTACCAGTGGCTCTCTGGCGCCGGTTCCCCCGAAACTTGCTGGAGAGATCCTTCAGACATTTCAACACCTTGCAAATAAGACGCTGATCACACATGAACTCTGTCATGCGAAGACTCACCACGATGTATGGTGGGATGAGTTGGTGCAGGATCACTCCTGGATAGACTACTCAGGCCAATATCCATTCACCACCACCTGCCTTGTCCTAGGTGCTGGGCTCGACCCTCGCCCGATGCCTTGGATTCTATCGTTGTTGACGTTGGGGAGAAGAAGCCAGTCTGGTCACAAAACTCACTTGCTTTCGAGCAGAATGGACTTCATCAAACGATCACCTCAACTGCGTGGTTGATGGACTCGATTGTGAATATTGGATCCCTTGAGAAGATTCTGAGCCTGTGTCCCAAGTTAACCGGAGTTATTGTCTTCCATACCGATAGCTTGCCATAGCTCCCGTTATTGGATGCACGCGACGGACCCATGGCGCGGAAGATTTGGCACCCAGACCTCCTTCGATTACCTCTTTCTCCCTCTGAAGAGAGCCGATCCTGTCCTCGAGCAGCTGAACTTCATCACCAGAGCGGAGAATTCGTTAAGCAGGCCGTGTCATGGCATATCTCCGACCCTTTGTTTTTGATCAACCTTGATACTTATCGTCTTACCCGCGGCGTGTCGAGATGGAGCAACCGCCTGATCGAAAGGAACCCTGGATTGGCAACACATTACACTCGGATGAGGTATGCGCATCAGCACTTCCATCGCTCGACGCAATGTTAGACCCTGCTGAGATGCATGACTAGTTTCATCACTTGTCGAATTACGTTTGAGGGCGTGGGCATTATTCCGCAGTCGTCGACTTCGAGAAGTATGCGAAGCAGTGTGCTGCCCATCTCTCGATTTCTATCACGGTAGGGAACGATAATGATTTCATAACATCTGCCAACACCGTCCTGTAAATCCAGGGCCATTGGACGGTGAAGACTCTGCCAAGGCAACTCTAATACCGATTCATCCTTTAATCGATTGTCTGTTTCGAGGATCAAAGCGTACATGGCAGTGAGGCTTTTTTCGTTCGCGAGTAATATTAATCTAGGCAGTAGTTGGCCTGGGAGTATGGACGCAGTTATCCTCCACAAAGGGCGGGAGGGCGGCCCTTGCTTACCGAGGCCCGAAAGGCCAAGCTCTAGTCTGTACTGTCTAAATCTTTCTATCATTTTTCATGATTTTATACACAAACTGGGTCCGCTTACAACCACTTCAATCCAATCTAACCTAACATGCGCCATACCATCCTATCCCTAGCGGATTTGTCGTGGTTGACCGGCGCCGATAGAGGCACAAATGAGCCGGTCGCCTCGTCCCTCCCCCCCCAACATCGTCGTCATCTCCTAATGCGCTCACGAGTGAGTGAGTGCTGGTAGTGGTGGTCCGTGACTGACCTTGAGCCAACCAACTGTTGCTCCCTTTTTGGTGTCGTGGAAGCCTTCCCTTCCCGCCGGCGCGCCACTAAGCTCGGTTCAAAGGAGCATTTTGGAGCAATATTGTGCACCTTTCTCCCGTGGAGGCGTCTGCGCATCTGCACACTCGCGAAACAAAGGAGGGAGTCAACTTCTGCGATGATAGGGGCGAGATTGTGCAAGCAAGGCGTGCGCACTGACGATGGGCGGGTTGGAAGTTCCCGCGGATGGAGACGGCGGTGACGACTGTGCTGTCGATTGATCCGGATTTCTTCTGTTGGACAAACGGTGGAGAGTCAACCATGGAGACAGACGGGATGTAAAATAAAATATCTGGCCCTCATGCCCCGAGAGAACCGCCGCAGAGTCGGGTGTGAGGAAAGAGATGAATCGGGCAGCTAGAGGAACTTCTCGCTGATATCGCGATTGCCGCCGTCGTCGTCGACGGGCCGGTAGCGGACAGCGGAAGTCGGAAGTTGTGGTCGTCGGCGTGATCGTCCCGTTTCGTGACTGCTTGACGGAGTCGGTGGGCGTCTCAGATGTCTTGCTGGAGTGTTCATTTCTTTTCAAGAGACATCCAGGCTGAGAGCTGGAGCAGCGGCGCCGGTGATCCATCTTCTCGATAAAGAACATAGAGATGGAGCTTGCTTCCCCGATGGCTCCCGGCCATGAGCCCTCGTCGCCTAGACCACTCCACTGGAGACGACGAGGCTGGGCGACAACCGTGCCGCTGCTGAACTTGTTGCTCTCCGAAAATTGTCACAGCATTTTGTTGCTGTGTCCACTCACTCCTCATCGCTTCTCACTTTCACTCTCACTCGGACTCGAGCTCGAACTCGACCTGGGGCTCGAACCGGAACTCGAAGTGGCGCTCTTAGTCGCCGCACGGCTCCTCTCTCTTTCCTCCTTATCCTTCCTGGCCTTGATCTTCTTCGCAGCCTTGTCGATGGCTTTCCTCCTGGTTGCACTCCACTTGCACACCTCCCCGGCATAGTACAGCCGGTACGCCACGTCGTTGTTCGTCATGCCGGGCTTGACTGACTGGAAAGTGTAGACGGGTCCAAACGACGGGTCGACAGAGGGTTCCAGGACCATCTCTAGACCCTTTTTACGGAGTTGGGGATTGATGGATTTCATTTTGAGTGTGTTTGAATGCAGGAGCTTGAGCCGGAGAGGAACAGCATCGGCATGAAGGAATGTGGCCTTCTATTATACCTCAATGCAGAGCTACCACGTGACCGGTAGAGTATCCGCCAGATTCCGAGCTTGCGCCGAATCACAGAAAATTCTTCCCCTTTCGAGCGAGTTAGCGCCACCAGGAAAGATTACAAAAGCAATCTAAATGATATTGAGAGTATCTATCAGAGTCAGCTGATATCCCTTACTTCCCTGCCCAAACGTACCGTGTATCAAAGCTATAGTCTAATTTTCGCTCCCAATCCTTTCCCTTCGTACCATACATGTTCCTGCCATTTCCCTATTCTCACGCCAACATCTGCCTTTGCGTCCAATTTCAGAGTGCCTCCCAGCGCGTCTCTGATGGTACCCAGGGCGTTACTGCCCCATTCGACAGGCAATCTTGGGGTCAGATTCTCCCCAGGCTCGATTGCGAATGGATAGTCCCAGTTGATCGTTCCGACTTCTGACCCGTTGTAGAAGGCGGCTGCTGTAATGCTTGTAACGTAAAAGGCGAGCGGCGATACCAAAATAAATGTCGCGGTCGACGAAAAAATATGCATCTGTTTCCATCAGCCAAATTTCGGAAGCGTCAAGCGACGTACCGTTGCTTCTCTCAAGGGGTGCGACAGCATATGTGGAGCCGGTACCGTCATTTCCACGCCGGGATCAGGAAAATTCGGGATCGAGCCAGCGTGGCTCTTGATAGTCAGGCTCGTATTGTACCCCGAGATATATTGCGAAAGCCATTCTCTTCCAATGTTACCCACTTCCCATGAGGCATTTGCAGTCAAGTTGTTAGGACCGGGCACAACGTGTTGTGAAGACGCCCATGCATAGCCGACTCGGGTGTCGTTGACCCATATACTGACATTGCAGTACGGGATCTTCGCCGAGTAGTCCGTAGGATTCGTCACATTAACCCTTGCCTGTAGAGTTAATGAGGTTTCCGATGTAGCAACGACTTCCATACCCTTTATTTCCGGCATCTGAAAATCCCCACTGCGAAGGGGTTTGATGAAGATTTGGCCTTTTGCTGGTATTCTTCGGACCACGAATTCTCCCAGCGCTGTATGTGTGTTGACGTCAACAGTTGCTTGCACCGAGAGCGAAGCCCCTTTCCCGAATATCAGCGCTTGTACAACTTGGGAGAACAGACTCTCGTTTTTGATCTCGAGCGGCGCATCCTTGACAATTGACTGGATTAATAAGTCATCATCTACCTGCGTCGCATTCGCTGCTTGCCATTTTGAGAGATCAAGGTTGCCCAGGAGCTCTCCTTTGTAGAAGACGTCAGCGTCGGCTCTGACCCTATCAACATCTAAGTTGATATTCATTTCAGCAGGGAGCCCGACTAAAACTTTGACAATGGCAGATATCTCCGGCCGTGAGTCGGTCATAGGATTTGGCAGAGCAAAATGAACATCCGCCAAAGAGAATTCCTTGATCAGATTATCAAAAGGATGGCCAGGAAGCGAAAATGGGAGCACGGTCTCCTGTAATAACTTTCCTATCCAATCTGGAGTGTTCTCGTCTTGCTGCCCTCCACGGATGTACACAGTAGTATCTCGCCCAGCGAGGTAGTCTGCAACCAGGCTGTCCAGTGGGGAGGATTTCGAGCCAGGACATACAGATGTCAGCGACGTAGGTAATTGCTTCACCAAGCCAATCACACTTGCGCTGATGTTTTGCTCGGGCAAGATATGGATGACATCAGTCCTGGCTGTTCCGAAGAGAAGGTAGTTCTCGGAGCAGTCTGGGAGAAGGACCTCAAACGCCAACGGCGGGACGTCAAATTTGACAGGATACTGATTCATCACAGAAACTGTCGCCATGGCCTTGACGCCTTCAGGGTGTCCGGGCAATCCATATTCGGCAAAACGAAGTTGTTGAATGTCGAAGTCTGGAACGGCCGGCACATCGCCACCCTGGAATTGTAGAGTTTGTGAAATGGTTTGTTTGCCCAATCTAATCAATCCGCTCTGCAGGGAGACGGTCACAACGGCATCGACCGTAATTTCATCCAATCTGCGGTCCATGAAATCTTTCGCGAGTCTCCGAAACCCATCTAGATCGCCCGGCTCCAGGTCAGCAAAGAAATCGAGATGGTTGAGTCGGTGGTTCTGGATAGTGACCCGGATAGGAGGGATGGTGACTGTGCCTAACAGAATATTGTCGTATTCTGGGAGATAGACATTGACCTTGGATTCCCCACTCTTAACTTCCTTTGCAATCCAGGTCCCAAATCTGCCCAAATCTCTTGTTGCCTTGTTGTGGACTCTTGAGGCATCCATATAGAAGTCTCCTTGGATCCTCGCACGGATGCCCAGGGAGGTAAAGGAATCGATGGAGAGCTTGGTGGGTTCGAAGACAAGGGCTTCTTTCGCATATTCTTTGATGGTGGATGGTAGCGTCAAACTAAAGCAGACGGCCACTACCACCAGGCATAGAATGGTCAGGGCTACAATGCTAGGCCATCTCTGCTGATGCTTTTTGGCTGGAGGGTCCAACGGCTCGGGCGACGGAGGAGCCACATATCCATTCGGTTCGTCAGAGTGAATTGATCGAGGGTCATCTTCAGGACCAGAGAGGAGGGGAGTTCGTTCGGACGGCGGCGGGGAGGTTTGTGGTGAGGCCATGGTGAGCAGTCGGAGCTGCCCCGTGGAGTTGATTCAAATCATGGGATGGGGGAGAATAGAGACAATGGTGGTTGAAGTGGTGAGAGGCAAAGAAAGTGATGACGACCATGAAGATGAAACTCGGCATGACAATTGGCGCTCCGCAATCTGCAAGGAACCCGCAGGCACCGAATAATTATACCCGGTACGCCCAACACGCCCTCGACGCCCGGCACACGCCAAGCCGCATGTATCGCGGGGAGAACACAACTGGAAAGTCTTCCGAGCTCCCACCCATCGTACTCGGTATTTTCTATGTCAAACCTCCAAGTCTCGCAGCCAGCTTCTTGATATGCCCCGGTGTTGTCTTGCAGCATCCACCCACAAGGATTCCTTTCCATCGGCCTCTCTCCTTGACTTCCTTGACAATGCTGAATACTTGCTGGTCCCATGGCAATTGACCCTCGTCATCGCCAATCCACTGCTGCAATTTGGTATTGTACAGTTTTTTGCCAGCGCCATCTGGATAGACGACCAACCGTGGAAGGTCTATAGGATGCATTTTAGCGACATCTTCAAACCTCCTAATCAAGCTAGCGACTCTGTAGACCTTTGTACAGTTGATACCGATTGCGTACGGAGGTCGCTCTCCTTCCAGCATAGTCTCGACCAATTCTTCGACCCCAGTCCCATCGGGCAATTTCTCAGAATCATTTGGGAAGACACAGGATATCCAGTATTCTTTGTCTTGTACTCTCTGCATCATTCTCCTTGCCGCTCTCACTTCATCGATTCGCGGGAGCGTCTCGATTGCGACAAGATCAACATCCTTCCACTCTTGACTACCCACAAAGCACCAGATCCTTTCGAGGTGGAAGTTGAGAAGATCGTCTTCAGTCCTTTCCCCGTATTGTCCACTGTATTCAGTACTAGGAACCATGGTAGCCCCGTATGCACCCAAGCTCAATGCCACCAGGCCTGGTCGTCCATTGAAGGCTTCCCGGGCAATTCTGACCGCCGAGAGCATATATCTCATCGCCTCATCTCGGGCTATACCATCCTTACTTGCAACCCTGGTGTTTTTGAAGCCATGGAGGCTTGCCTGATAAGTGGCAGTGAGAATAATGTCCGCTCCTGCTTCTGCAAAATCTCGCTGGACCGTTTGGAGGGTTGCAACGTTGTCAACTAGAAGGTGAGACGACCATAACGGTGTTGCAGACGAGAATCTTATGCCGTGTTCGTCTTCAAGCGTCGTGCCCAGTCCACCATCCAGGAGCAGTATTGGCTTGCTCAGCAGAGGATGTTTCATATTGCCTGGATGGAATGGACGGAGGAGGACCGAGTCATATGCTTGGGAGAAAAGCTTGTGGACAAGGCTCGACGCTTTTCCCCTCACGGGAGATCGACGAACCAAACCCTTCAGACTGCGGAGCAACAGCCCGCAGGCTGCTGCAGCTGCAATGTTTTCATGAGAGTGTGACTCGTAAAAAAGAAAAATTTACTTTGCACGCCATACCAAATCTTCCTCTCCAAGGAATCTCTCATAGGTTCGCATTGCTGGCAATGCCTCCTACCCTTTCACAGTGCCAACATTGAATTACCAACACCATGGCAGCTCTACGTCCCTTCTTGTCCCCGCTACGCCAATGTGGCCGCTCAATTTCTACCTCTACAAAACCCGGTCCCCGTCACCTCCTGTCCATATCCGAGCTCACACCCACGGAGCTGAATACCCTCGTGAATAACGCAACGACCTACAGAACTTCCGCCCTCCAGCCAACATGGCCCCAGCGCACCGCACTCTCAAACAGGACCATCGCAATGCTCTTCTCCAAGCGCTCCACGCGCACGCGCATCTCGACAGAGGGAGCCGTTGTAGCGATGGGCGGCCACCCTATGTTCCTGGGTAAGGATGACATACAACTTGGTGTGAACGAGTCACTCTATGATACTTCGGTGGTGATATCGAGCATGGTTGCGGGCATCGTGGCACGAGTCGGGGCGCACTCAGAGATTGCAAACCTTGCAAAGGACAGCTCTGTGCCCGTGATCAATGCACTGTGCGATACCTATCATCCCATGCAGATCATTGCCGACTTTGCGACCCTGACACAAACCTTTTCCACGCCAGCGGAGAAATTGCAGGGGTTGAAGATCGCCTGGGTGGGAGATGCCAACAATGTATTATACGACATGTGCATCGGTGCCAGGAAGCTGGGGATCGACATGGCAGTAGCAACGCCGAAGGGCTACAAAATTCCCCCGAACATAAAGCAAGAAATCGAAGCTGCAGGGCCCGGACAACTTTTCGAAACAAACATCCCCGAGGAAGCAGTTAAGAATGCAAATATCATAGTCACCGATACGTGGATCTCCATGGGCCAGGAATCCGAGAAGCAAAAGCGCCTGATGGCGTTCGAAGGTTATCAAGTGACGGAAGAAATGGCACGCAGAGGAGGCGCAGCGGAGGATTGGAAGTTCATGCACTGTTTACCGCGGCATCCGGAGGAAGTCAGCGACGAAGTATTCTATGGCCCGCGATCTTTGGTTTTCCCGGAGGCCCAAAACAGACTGTGGTCGGCGATTGCCACGTTGGAGGCGTTTGTGGTGAATAAAGGCGAGGTCAAAACCGCCGAGCAGTAATGGATATTGAGTAAGGTGTTTTCATGTGTCACCATGCATGGACTAGCTGGCGCCAGCCACAAGCAAAAGAGACCATTGGATAATAGTACTTGGTATTTCAAGCCCATATCCACGAGGGAGAGGGACGCCGAGTGACCACTTCCGCGAGGAGGAATCGTCAGAATCCCAGTCTCAATTACATAAACGCATTGAAGATTGTGATTGGACAAACAGCTGGTGGGAAGCACATGCCTCGGTCTTCAAATCACGAGAAACATTCCAACACCGACATCATCTGCTTCTCGTCTTGTCGTCTCCCCCCCTCCAACACAAACTCTTCCTTCACTCATCCTGCCACCGTCGTGCACTCGTTCTTTCTCGCCGGCCACGCACCATAAGGGCCTCCCCCCGGAGCTTCCTTGAAGATCCTCATTCCCGTCCGCACAACAGAAGAAACACTCACATGGAAGTCTGTCTCCCAACACCTCTCCCTTTCTGCATCTCGACCCTGACACCCTCAGCACCTCCCCCTTCTCCTTCTCCTTGTACCATCCCACCTGGCCCTTTGTTCACGCGTGTCGGAGATATTAACCACGAAATACCACAGTCCCCTTCGTCGCCTCTCAGCCGCTCCTCGTCCTTCGCCCCTGGCCCGCACCGCCGCTCCCATCCAAACCTGCAACACCTGTCCCTGGCGCCCTTGACGCCGAAATACCCAATCGACCCGGCCGACTACGCTGCCTACTTCGACCCAGCGACCTCGGAGCTCCACACATCCGCGTCCATCTCGCACGTCGCGAGCTTGCCGTCCCCAGGCGGCATTCTGTCAAGGAGCGGTTCCGCAGCACAGTCGCGGGTGCAGTCGCGGGCGAGTTCCCGGACACGAATGAACCAGAAGAAGAAGAATCGATCCTTCGTGACGACCCAAGCCCCCTTGCCTCTCACGGATGGTGGCACAGGCGTCGCCGCTCCCCTCTCCGGGGAGTTGACGAGTGAAGGGCTCGGCCACAAATCCATATCTCGTCTGTCAAACTTGGCAAACCTCTCTGCACAACAGACGCATAACCCCTCCGACTACTCGGGCGGACAATCACTACACAAATCCGATTCGTCATGGTTCATCCAAACGGGCCTCGCGTTGACCGAAGGCTCAAGAGAATCAAAGGGCCAGTCGTGGATATTCAAGCGCGATTCCTCCACATCTTTGGCAACGCCGGTCGATGAACGACCGTCGATGATGATCAGGTCTGGACGAGCGACGCCCAGCGGCAATCTCAGCCGACGAGGCAGTTTTCAAAGACGCAGTAAGAGGTCCTTGGCTATGACCCCGGTCCCAGCTACTACGCCAATGATAAATGTGGACACGACGCCAGATTGGGCGGACGAACAGACGCAGGCGGAGATCGCGGCACAGATGGACGCTGAATTCGCGGATGAGTTGGACGATGGCGACCCCTATGGCACGTTGGACTTTGAGGCCCAGTTTGATAGTGATGACGAGGAAGAGCTACGGAAATCGATCAGCGGGTATAGATTGGGCAGATGGATGGATGGGCTTGTGGATGTTTTTCTTCGATTGGAAGATGACTTTTCTGCGTCTCAAGTCGACCTTGAGGCTGCAAAGACGGGCATCCAAGCCGATCCGGCTCCTTCGAATGCTCCGCCAGCAAAAGATGCTGACCCGCCGGGGCATAGTGTGCGATTCGACGATTCAGTGGAACCGCCTCCAGACAGACCTAGGGGTGTATGGGACGACGTCGTCTGGTTTGGCCGCATGCTGGCAAGGGCCGCGCGATCATAGCTGTTAAGAATATGCCTAGGTCTTCTTGTAGCTAGATGTAGATGTGCATATAGATGATCTAGCTCCGCTTTTGCCTGGCGTCTGCTGCCTCTCCCTGTCTGTTTGACAAACCCCGTGGCGTCAAGTCCCACAATGCGCGCGGCAGTAGAAGCCCTGCTTTGATACCCTTATGTTGGACATCTCCCCGTGAATTGTGTCCACACGAGGGGGGAAAGAGGTCGAGAGATACATACGTTGCGAGGACAGAAGGACACAAAATGGAAAAGGGGAACATACCTCATATTTATTAGAATAAGTGGGTTAGAGTGGTACATATGTAGGAGCAGTGTGGAGGGTCGATCGCGTGTCCAATCTCCGCGCACGACTCGGGTTGCCCTTCCTTTGACACACACGTACATATTGTAGGAAGCTTGAGGGCATTGGCGGAGTATGTAGCTTCGATCTTGCGCCTTCGATATGGAGCGTCGACGCTCTCGCTATCCCTACCTCGTACAGCAAATCAACTGCAACGCCTTCCCCTCTTGGCCTCGCGAGAAAAGCTGTCTTGCCGCCGTGACGGGCCACAAACTTCTCGAGTCATGAAGGAAGCTTTGGCAGATATATCTGTGCACAGCCCCGATACCACCGCATTGGTTTCTGTCATCGTATAAATTGTTGATTTTGGTGGGTGTACAGACCCGAATTCGAGGACGTCCGAGTCGTCCCGGAAGACCTGTGTCGGCGCTTGTGCGGGCGGGAGGAGGGGGCCGGGGACTCGGGGCTCCTACTTGTACAAGGAGGCTGATCAGGCGTTGCGTTGGACGACGAGCCATTATCGCCTAGTCGAGCATTGCCAGGGTCGTAGAACGGCGTGTCGGTGATATCTTCCATTAGTGCATCATCCGCGTCCGCTCTCTCTGGTATCTTGCGACTAGCCCAGCGAAGTGGGAACTTGCAGCAGTGGCCAAAAATCACCGCTCCGTCGGCAGCGAGCTCTCGTGGGCTTTGGAGACCGTACAACTTCGGGAAGGTTGCAGGCAGAAGGACCTGCACACGGTCGTGCTCACACCTTTCGGAGCCCTCGCAGTGTGCAAAAGGCTCATCCGGTGCATGCCAGTAAATATCACCAGCCAGTCGCCAGGGACGACTCGTCTTCGTCCCTTTCTTCTTCATGATGTCCTTAATGTCGGCGACACGCACAGCAAGGTAGTCTTTATTTCTGGGGAGCTCTTCGTTCCATTTGCAGGATCGGCAGTTGTATTGTGCTTGATTCGTGGGCCGGAACAGCTCGCCAAACCCGGCTCCAAAGAAGGCCAGAGCGTGTATGGCTCGGGTGAAGTCTATCCAGCCTTCCCCAACTGCCTGTATGGTCGTGACTTTAGGCCATAGTGTGCCTTGGTTAGTCGCCACATCCATAAAGTCGAAGCCTTCGAGTTGGCGTCTGGGAGTATACTTCAAACGGAAACCCACCCCTGCTTGTGTGTGAACGTCGTCTTGGTGAGCTGTAATCTGCGCCAGGACATGACAGATTTGTTCAACACGATCACGAAGACATACGTTTGTTGTCATGCGCTTTTCCACGTTTTCTGTGGCTGGCAGCCCACCAAGCGCATCTTCCTTCGTAGTCGTCTCCTTATATGTCTTCTGCATTTGAGGATATAGCGGCAGCCTCATGTTCTCCTCGTCTGAAAGAACATCGAAGGCTGCATCTCCTCCGCTAGAGTCACAACTCGCATCATTGAATTTGTCGAAGTCGAATTGGAAGAGCTTCCTTAGGCGTCTATCGTTTCGTAAATCGTGAAGAGAGGCTCTCAAGAAGTGTAAAACCCCGCTGGCTCCGTCAACCAACCATGCTCGCTTGGCTTCCACATCGTAGAAGACGAAGTGTCTGTCAGCCATTACTTTTAGCATTCCGAAATAGTCATCTCCGAAATCGATATGAATGGCCTTATCTTTCATGCCTATGGCGAACGTGGCGCCAGCACTAACAAACTTGCCCCCTGATATGGATACTCTTTCAAAAGCGCAGCTCTGGTGAGGTGCTTCCGAACCCGACCACTCGATTTCGTAGTTAGCTATTGACGTTCCTAGACCTGCTGAGTATGTGATTGACAATGTCGGCAACATTTGACTGACCTGTCAGATTTTTCACGTTGTTGCACCATCCCAGAATATGTCGGCCCGCTTGCAAGGTACTAACAGGGACGAGATCTGTGAGATACCGGTCTCGGGGAACGCGTGGGTCTTCGAAAGAGACATATCTCCGATCCTGATTGCAGATCATATGCCAATATGTCGTGTTTGCTTCGCTGTATGTGGCAGCAAACATCGTAGAAAACCCCTTGAGATAAGTCATTCCACAGAAATCCACTACCCTCCGTGCATTTCCGAGGGCCGATAATATGTGAAGAGGGATCTCAAGCCCAGAGTCTTCCTTCGGTCGAGGCAAGATGGGATAACCCTTCACGACAACCGGATTCCTCATTATCTGATGCCAACAACTTCCATTCACGGTTCCTTCTAGAGCCAGATCCTCAAGAACGAATCCAATCTTACAAATCCCGGTCAAATGGGTGGTTGATGTTGAGGCAAATCTCTCTGACCTTTTCGACAGACGCAATGGAGTCCAGGTGCTTTTGATAAATGGGGTGCAATGCATCAATCGTTCGCTCTCTGGGGAGGATCGGAGAGCAGATCCTAGCCACGCAAGCTGTTCACCGACCTCGGCGATTGAGTATGCAGTCCCAGATACGGTAAAGTTGATCTTGTTGTCAACATATTTTGCGCTAAGCCGTGTACCGGAATCTAGGAATTCCTGTTCTCGTGATTCTGCTGTAACGGGTGTCAAACTGTCGAACTAGAAGCGACGTTCGGCTTGAAGTGTTGAAAAGACAAGTGAAAACTCACCAAATTCGCCAATCTGGATTTGATTGCCCAAAGTATCCTGAAGGACATGGATGATATCGCGTCCATTGTAAGGCCAAGTTTGTTCCACGTACTGTAAACATGTACTTGCTTGAACGTTGTTGGTATTCGCGTTTCCGGTCAATACGATTACCCGTGGAAGGACTGCCTCCACTGAACACTCATAATTCTGCTCTTGTACGAACATCACTGGATCCCAGTCAACCTCAAAAGTGATCGTGAATGTGGGGGCGTGTGTGCCATCGGTGGGAGTCGCCGGCGGTTCGATTGCTTGCAAGATCTGTGCCCTGATCTCTGTGCGCATTACATCTGGTTTCGCAGGGTGGAGGCTTCCCTCAGTGTGGATACGCGACACCAACCACAAATACGCTGGAGACTGCACGAGTATTCGCCGATAGAATGATACATTGGGAGAATCTGGGCCGAGAGCCTCACCGGGATCCGAACCCTTGACAGCTGGAGTCTGCTGCCAATTGTCTCCATTGTCGCCGCTCTCTCTCTCTGATATGGTCCAAAGTGACATCATGTCCTGGAGTTCCATTTCGTGGAGTTCCATTTCCTGAAGTCCCGTTTCTGACGTAGTAAATGAAGATTCGTAATCGCCTGCTGCGCAGTGCTTCTCAAGCTCGATCACGATTTGCCTGTTGGTACACTGATACGTCAGTAACCGAAAGACACCGCGATACCCGTACCTCACCTCTGACAGCGATGTACGTCCCCGGCAATTTGCCGGTGGACGTCTGTCGTGCCCTCTAGTGCGAGCCTCGTAGTAAAGGCCTGGAGAAGCTCCAAAAGAGCAACCCTCTCCAAATTGGCTTTGTTGAAGGCCGCAGGGAGCGTGGAACATAGTTCTAACATGAACGCAGTAACATAGCCCATGTCCGTGGCGTTGCTAGGACTCGGTGCCACTAAATGCCGCGGTGATTGTTCGACAAGCTGTGCAGAGATCTGCTCAGCAGCTCGCATCCGGCCCTCTAGTCTAGATTCCGCTCTTCTATCGGCTTGTGAATGTGCTGAGGAGGTCGCAACGATTGGAGGCACGGCTGACACTATATTTGGGGCCAAGTCTTCGATGGGATATTTATCGACATCTCCAGTAATGCCCTCATGTGACGTGCGTTGAGAAAGCTTGCCGCCGGCTTCGCCATGCTCTGTCGTCGACTTCTTGTGGACGGCCATAGCAGCGAATTTTTCGGTGATTGCTTCCGTCAGCTCTCGAGTCCCGGTGCCTGACAACTCTTGTGATCTTTCTAGAGCCGACTGTTGGGTCGCTGACTCTGCTGGCTCTTGAACGGTATCACCTAATGCATCTTTGGAAGTCGCCTCTGATTCCGGAAAATGAATGAATTCGGTCCAAGACAGAGGAAAGGGCTCTTCTTTGTTTTGATCCCCGGCGATCTTGCCGGACTGGCTGCTCGGGCTACTTCCATGGTAGTCCCTACTCGAGCCCGGCTTGAAGGAGTCGTCTGTTTTGTATGACTTTGCGATGGTATTGCTCCACGAATTAAACGAGGGAAGTGCTGCTATCGAGACGGAATCCTTTTCATATCTGCAAGAATTACATCGCTTAGAGTAACAGGCTGAGCAATGCGTGTTTATGGCGAACGACATCGGTCCATTCTTGCAGTTGCAACAGTACCAGATTACCTCAACCCCCATTTTCGTTATCAGCTGGCCACCAGATGAAAGGCCAGTTGTGTAACATTGATCAAGGAGTCAGGAGAAGGCTACATGTATATTACTAGAAACTAAAATAGCAGGAGGGGTTTGTATAGAGCAGCCGGATGATATACACGCCAGTCTACTCGGTACGGCGGGCGGCTCGCCAGAAGCGGGTCGACGCGTGACTGCGTCCAGGGACCCGCAGCATTCAGCCTCGTGGCCTCGTGGCCAGGCTGCAGGCCATTGCCTTGTCCATGACAGCAGCATAAACAACAATTACTTGTTACTTGGTCCTACTCGTATCACTTGACCACAGCGACGACCATGTAATATGGTATACAAATAGAAGTACCAATCCACTCACCTCCTCGCACCTTTTCCTTTCCTTCCTATTCCTGCCTCCTAGTTCCCTTCCATTCCCTCCGTGTCCTCCACCAACACAAAGCGAAGAATGCACACCACCACTTTCGCCCTCTGCCTTAGCACCATTCTCACCCTACTCCCACCGACTGCGGCATGGGGTTCCCTGGGCCATCGCACCGTCGCGTATCTCGCGTCCACGTATTTCACCCCGGAATCCACACGCTTCACGAACCACCTGCTCAACGGCCAGGACATCTCCGAAGCGGCCCTTTTCCCAGATAAAGTCCGCCACATGCCTCAATTTGCGTACTCGCGGGGGTGGCACTACATTGACGCGCAGGACTCGCCGCCGCAGCAATGCGGCATCAACATGACGCGCGACTGCGCCATCAACACAGGGTGCGTGGTCAGCGCAATCGCGAACCACACGGGCCGCGTCGCCGATCCCTCCCTGCCGCACTACCTGCGCGGCCAGAGCCTGCGGTTCATGCTACACTTCTTCGGCGACGTGCATCAGCCGCTGCACACCGAGGCTGAGGACCGCGGGGGCAATGAGTACGAGGTGGCTTTTGACGGGCGGCGGACGAATCTGCATAGCGTATGGGATACGCTCATTCCGCACAAGTACGCCGGAACGGGCCACGACGACGAATTCGTCGCTGCGTGGCTGTGGGCGCAGAAACTCTCTGGTGACGATGACGACGATGAGACAAGACTAGAGGGAGAATGCCTGTACGATGCCGCAGACTGTGCGCTGTCCTGGGCACGGGAGGCGAACAGCTATGTCTGCTCTCATGTACTGGCTCACGATGTGCACGGCCAGGACCTCGGCGGGGAGTATTACGAGGGAGCCATTCCCGTCGTCAATGAAATGGTCCAGAAGGCCGGGAGGAGATTGGCGGCTTGGATCAATTCCATCTCTGCAAACTATACCACCACAGCCAACGAGGCCGGTGATTTGGATGTCGATCACGCAATACAAATTCAATGAATGAGCTTTCGACTAGATAGATATACCCTGTTGGCGTACGCATGCATCATGACTGCTCACGTTCAATTCCAAATACTGATTGTTCAAGGCAGGGGGCGGGACCAGGCCTCGGAGGACGGGAGGGGTAATATCAAGGAAGACACACAAGGAGAAGAACACAGCTGGATGATGGGCAATATGAAGGAGAGGAAAGAAGTGATGAGCCAGTGTAATATTCGATTAAGTCGCGGCTCCCGATAGTTCGGTCTGCGCCAAAGCTGCGCTTATTCTACTGCGATCGTGGGTGCACCCTCCCCTCCGCGCCTTTCCCCATTTCAGCCCCGTATCAGGCTCGATGCCATTCGAACAGTAGTTGTACAACAACACAGCACACGTCGTCTTAGGCGATGCGTAAGTAATATTCAGACACCGTTGTCTTCCTCCCTTAAACGGCCTGCTCAGCCAGTTGTTCCCCCTGTTCATCAACGATATTCCTTGCAATTCTCTGCGCCGAAGTGATCAACCCGCCATAATGATCTTCCAGTCTTCCCTTCTCCACAAAACTGTTCAGTCTTGCTTGTTCCTTTTCCATGTCCTTTTGAAGGCCTTCCACTTCACTTTCGGCCAACCTATCCTGGAGACTGACGGGGAACGTTTCGCGGCGCAGAATGTCACTGGGGGCAAACAGATGGACCGGCGTCCCCTCGATCTGTTCTAGCAAGAAAACATGCTGTAAAGCGCGGAACAGACTCGACTGCTGCATCTCTTCCTCCACTCGTTCATCATCTTTCCCACCAGTCTCGTTTAACACAAGCCAGTCGTCGCGAATCATCGCTCTTCTCCAAATTAACGCTCGAAGATCATCTTGCTTCGGCATCGGCAGACCACATTCCTCCACGACGTTCAGGGCGAGACTAAACTCTTGACCACCAACTCCAGGGTCCTCTTCTGGAGGTCCGCTCCATTCGACCGGATCCAACAATGTCAGCAGATCGACCAACTCCTCTGCAGTCAAGGGCGTCTGACGCAACAGTGACTTCAAGATCTGCTTCAACTCTCTCTTGAAAGCAGGGCTCCTGATCACTACTCGAGAAGCAAACGTCTCCCCGGCAAGGTCGATCGCAGCTTTCTCATCAAGGGCCGCACCGACCGTGCCCATGATGTGGGTATAGACCTGCTCTTGAATGGCGATCATTGCCAGAGCATCATCGTATGGTTTCAGGTCTCTGTGCTTGCCACTATCTTCATCTGCAGCCAAGCTAGCCAGCTTTCCGAGTGCCAATTCCGTCTTCTTGTTCCAGACATTGCCGATTTCTTCACCAGCAACATCACGGAGTGTCTGTGCAGCATGGTCGTAGTTGTCGCTTGATATCACATCGTGAATCCAGCTGAGCTTGCCTAGGTTCTGGTGGGCCTTTGGAGCTACCCTGAAGAACCAGGTAAGGAATTTTTCTTTCTCTCCATCCTCTTGCCCCTTGACTAAAAGACTCCCGCATTCACCATCAATCAGCATCTGACTAAAGGCGGCGAAGGCCCATCCTTTGCCGAATCTCTCGTAATAGGACTCAGCTCTCTCTTGCATCTCCTCGAGCTTGCGCTGATTATCTTCAGCCAGGGTGGGGTCAGCTTGAGCTTCAGCCACCAATTGTTTATAGTAGTCGTAATGCAGGGTGACGAGATCTCCGTAATATTTCAACTTCTCCGCTAGATGGATCGCTCCAGGCGTGTTGAACAATGCAGTAGCTTGCAGTGCCTGGCCCAGCCTTGCTTGCTCTTCATGATCGAGATTGCTAAGCTCATCCTTCAGTACGTCAGGATCTTTTTCGACGGTTTTGAGATGGCATTTCGCTTGAATGCATTCTTCGCGTACTAGTCGTGAAAATAATTCGAGCTCTGTAGGTAGACGATTGGCCAACTCCTGGAGGGCCATCTTGCTCGGTGCGTCGTACGGCTTTCCGTCCAGATTTGTCGGCATTTTCTTCTTCTTGTTCCTGCCATGAACGAACTCCCACCATTCGTTTAAGAACTTGCATATGTCGTAAATTAGACTCTGGCCAAATCGCAATGGTTCGGGACTTGATGTCCAAGGGTGAGGCATCTCGATCGGAAATCCCGACAAAAGTACTCCATTCTCAAACACTTCATCTCCAAGTCCGTAAAGAGGAGCATTGTCTTCACGAAATTTGAAGGCGGCAGTGTATGATGCGATCCAGAGGTCAACAGCTTCTTTGAAGTAATCGGCGACCACTCTGGGATCTGTCACATCCATCGGTTCAAGTTCCGGGATGCAGCTGACTAGTTCAGACATAAGATGGCCAACGTTCTTAACACTGTTCACGAGCCAATGTCTTACTCGATCTTTCTCCCCTCTTTCCGGGTCGGGGTATTTTTGTCGAGATTCATGCAATGCTCGGAGTGTAAAATCCAAGTATGACATCTCCCGGTCGGTTTGGGGATATTTTCGTTGAATCTCTTCCTGAACCTTCCAGATCGCTTGAGCGGCGGCGAGCTTTTCTGCATTCAGCAGTAATTCGAAACGCGTCAAGCGAGACATCGCGGAAGGATAGTGGTTTATCAAATGTTCGGCAAGATCGTCGAGGGCTTTGGCACGAAGTCGCATTTGCATGTCAATCGAGGGTGCAGACTTTGGAAGATGTTTGGATGATGACGATAAGATCTCCGAGCTGATATCCAAAGCGGCTGCCTCGATTTCGTCATGTGGGAACGATCGGTCGGCGTGCTTGAGGTCCAGTGGATTTTGTTTGATGGTGCCAAAGAAGACTGCTTGTTCTATTTTGCTCTTCGCGGTTATCCGGTCTCGTTCTTCGGCTTCGTCGACATCGACCTCCTCATCGTCGCGAAGATGGGATGTCAACTTCACCATGCCGAAACCCTGCACACCAAACACAATAGATGAATGTTTCTCTGTCGTTTCAAGCGCAAATCCGAGAACCTCGTAGATAGTGGACTCTTGGAATCGAATGCAATCTTGAAACGGTTCGGGCAGTGCCTGCCGTTCCATCAGGAGCTGGGATGATGGAGACTCTCGGATCCTGGCCAGTGAAAACAGGACAATTGCCGTCTCGAAGACAATAAACGCCACAGGCTGAGATTTCGATACACACAGTCGAGGTCTCCAGTGGCTGGGTCGTGAAGTTGATGAAGAATAGCAATTGACGGGGTGTACGACTTTGACCTTCACTCCTTGATCAACTACCATCTCGATGATGTGATACCTCGTCTGCTGCTCCGTTGATGTGGAGACGAGAACCATCATTGGCACACCCTGACTGTCTCGTCGATTCAGAGCCGCACTCGGTCCTATCGAGAGCTCCACATCCAGAACCTTGAACTGCGTCACATCCGGTTCGATTGATTTTAATGCGTCCAGAATTTCGTCCTTGAAGTTGTACGAGGTCTCGAGAGAGTTGCCGACAGTTAGATTCGTATTCCAGAATTCTAGCTCAGCATCCACTGTGGCAATGGCGACGTCGCGTTGGCCCTTTTTTGAACCCCCAGCTTTGACGATTGGCGTCCCTTTCCTTCGATCGGAGCCAAACACATTTCTTATACTCCCAAAGATACCTCCTGACGCGTTTGTGTACTTGCGAAGGAATTGGACGCCGATTCCAGGTCTTCCCATTTGGTCGCGTATCGTCAAGTGGGCTACACGACCATGACTGAGGGAAAGGATAAATCCCGACGGCTCTGCATTGACCAATTCTTCAACGACTTCACCGCTCATCATTCCCGGTATTGAGCCTTGAACACTTGAAACTTGGCCAGGTATGAAAGAGGAGGCGTTGGACAGTGTCTCCCAGTACACAATTTTACCCCATTTTGCAGATACCGCCACGATACCGGGTTCTCCGCCCGCAGATTTTGCCGTGAAGGTCGCATGTGGTAGGGGATCGCCAACAGAGGCGGGAGGGAAGGGGAGTTTGAAGGTGACTACGTCTCGAGAGGGAGGTGTTGATGCGGTCGCGTTGTAGGGCCAGATTATTGCGTCGGTATGGGTCAATGCCAACGCATAACCATATTCGGGAGAAATAACACATGAGTATTGGATGCTCGGTCGGTTTCTGATCTGGTCTGGAAGGGCGGGAAGCTGGGCGACTGTATAGAAGTCGTTCCTAGACAGAGTCAAGCCAGCGTTGGTGTTGGTGGCCCTGTCGGCGCGCTTTTCTGCCTTTTTGGCTCCTCGCAAAGTCAATTCTCTTGTCGGCACAACTGTGACTGCATGTACGTTGCTCTTGCCCTCGCCTACATCTCGTCCTGCCACATCACCAATGCTTGTTTCGGTCAGGGGTTCAAAGGTGTCCCGTCGCAGGGCGGATCGTTTTCGCTTCGCCTGAGGTAATTTGAGGGAGTCTTCCGGGCCTGCTGCCTGACGTGCTCTTTTGGGACGTAGCGACTGGGTCCGCGAGGTGTCTGTAGAAAACATCCTGAACAAGAGAACTCAGACCCCCACGTTGGAGAGGAACGAGAAAGAATCAGGGTCGCCAGGCGATGTGTTGTTGATGACGGCTTGGAATTATTGTTAAATGTTATTGCCGTGCTAAACCCGAGGCGGTCTGGCTTCGCGTTCGTTGTCGCCAAGATGAGTGGTCAAACCGGCAGCGAATTCACCCCTCTTTGGGAAGAGAGTGACCAAGATGACGTGTGCGCCGCTTTTAATGTCACGCGTCCCCAAGACCTCTATTCTTTTCAGTTTGTTATTCCTCTTTTCCTTGGGCGGCTTTGCAAAAGGATTCTATTATTAGGTGAACGCAGTCGAGATATCATTCGAAAACTGTTATTACGTCCAATATACGAGCTTCCATCTCTATACAAGACCACCAGGGGGGGAAGAGGTAAATTTGCTATAATTACAAGGGGAGTTTGAAAGCCAGGAACTCCGTCCCTGAGCTTGATGAACCGACAGATCCAATGCTAGTGCTCAAAGTACCATGTCCTCATGTTCAGTTCCTAGGCATGATGACCGAGGATCCAGGATCCTACCCTTCGCTATTGTTCTCAAC